GTGGTTTTTTTGTTTTTTTTTTTTTAGAGACAGAGTCTCACTTTGTTGCCCAGGCTAGAGTGAGTGCCATGGCATCAGCCTAGCTCACAGCAACCTCAAACTCCTGGGTTCAAGCGATCCTCCTGCCTCAGCCTCCCAAGTAGCTGGGACTACAGGCATTCACCACCATGCCTGGATAATTTTTACTATATATATATATTAGTTGGCCAATTAATTTCTTTCTAATTTTATAGTAGAGACGGGGTCTCGCTCTTGCTCAGGCTGGTTTCGAACTCCTGACCTTGAGCAATCCACCCGCCTTGGTCTCCCAGAGTGCTAGGATTATAGGCTCGAGACACCACGCCTGGCCTCCCAATGTATGTTTTTTGTCTGCTTCGTCAAAACTCAGTTGATCGTAGCTATTCTGTTTTATTTTGGGTTCTCTATCCTGTTCCAGTGGTCTATGTGTCTACCTTTATACCAGGACCTTGCTGTTTCGGTTACTACAGCCTGCAGTATAATTTGAATGAAATCAGGTAAAGTGATGCCTCCAGATTTGTTCTTTTTGCTTAGGATTGCTTTGGCTATTAAGGCTCTTTTTCAGTTCCATATGAAGTTTAGGATTACCGACAAAGGGCTAATATCCAGAATCTACATGGAACTCAAACAAATCAGGAAGAAAAAAACAAATAACCTCTTGAAAAGTAGACAAAAGACATGAACAGACTTTTCTCAAAAGATAGACAAATGGCCAACAAACATAAAAAAATGGCCAATATCACTAATCATCTAATGGTCAATATCACCAATATCACTAACCACCTTATCTCTGTCAGAACTGCCATTATTAAAAGGGGAAAAAAACAATAGATATTGGTGCAGTTGCAATAAAAAGGGAACAGTTATACACTGTTGGAATGTTTACTGGAATGTAAACCAGTACAACCTCTATGGAAAGCAGTGTGGAAAGTCCTCAAAGACCTAAAAGTAGACCTACCATTTGATCCAGCAATTCCACTGCTGGGTATCTTCCCAAAGGAAAAGAAATCATCATATCAATAAGACACCTACACTCAAATGCTTATTACAGCACAATTCACAATTGCAAAGATATGGAATCAACCTAAGTGCCCCTCAACTGATGAATGGATGAAGAAAATGTGTCATGTATTAAATATATATAACATGGAGTACTACCCAACTGTAAAAAGGAATGAAATCATGTCTTTTGCAGCAACTTGGATGGAACTGAGACCATTATTTTAAGTGAAGTGTCTCAGGAATGGAAAAACAAACACCACATGTTCTCACTGATAATTGGGAGCTAAATGAGAGATATATACGGTCATAATGTAATGGACTTTGAAAACTAAGAAGCAGGGAGGGTGGGAGGGAAGTGAGGGATAAAAATCTGCCCATCAGGTACAATGTACACTATTTTGGTGACCAGTACCCTGACCTAAGCATGGTACAATTCATCCGTGTAACAAAAAGCACTTGTAGATTCTGTACATTTTTTTAAATGAAAAAAAAAAATGGGCAAAAGATTTAAACAGACACCACAAACAAAGATATGCCAATGGCAAATAAACTCAGGAAAATATGCTCAGCATCATTAGACATTAGGGAATGATGGTAAAGCCACAATGAGATATTACTACATGCCTATTAGAATGGCTAAAATTTTCTTTAAAAAAACAGTTAACACTCAGTGCTGGTGAGGATGCAGAGTAACTGAAACACTCAGACTTTGCTGGGAATGCAAAATGGTACAAGCACTTGGATGCAGGCACTTTGGTACAGAAACAACTGGAAGTGACCAGATGTCCATCGAGTGGGGAATGGATACGCGGACTCAGTGCACTGACACAAGGGCAGCTACTCTCTGAATAAGGAATGAACTTCTGCAGCATGCGGCAAACGGAGGAATCGCAAATGCATCATGCTACCGGACAATTCCATTTATTTGACATCCGGAAAATGCAAAACTATAGGGACAGAATACAGATCAGTGGGAAAAGAGAGACGAAAATTCAAGTGTTACTGGGGTGTGGTGGCTCCTGCACAGAGACAGAGGATGGACAGACCAGGGAGGGCATGAGAGAGGGAACACCTTCCCCTGCACTTCACTCCACCGGGCTCCCTGCAGGAAGGTGCTGGCCAGCAAAGGTCTCGGGCGACATGGGGTTTGCATGCGGGCCCCGCCCAGGTCGTCCAAGACCCCGGACAAATCTGTCAGGTCCCAAGCAGCCAGGATACAGGCTACGAGGAGAACTAAACGAGCTGTGTATACTAGGCACTTAGACAAAGTCCTACAACTTTGGAAATGCTCATACCTGTGGTGGTCGGGGTCTGGCATGGCACAAATTGCTCACCGGAGTCGAGCTGTGGGTCCTGGGGGTTCTAGTGGTTCTGATTCCTTTCGTCCCCTGAGAGGCAACTAATTCTACTTACTAGTCCTTCAAGTATTAGCTAACTCTGCCACAGGAGCACACACATACCAAGATGCCTTAAGCTAATTTAAAAACTATAAGTTGTTTCACTGAGGATTTTTGGGAATCCACAAATTTAACAAGAAAAAAAACTCCAGTCATTGTTGGCCCCTGGATAAGCATTACGTGAATGGACTTTTGTCTTTTCTATTTATTAAATACCTCTTTTGCCCATGGGTCAGATCCCATCCTCTGGGATAATCTGAATGAATAAATGCAAACAAATGTAAAATTTTTCCCCCAGATCCTGTCATGGCTTTTCTAGAAGACACACCATCGGCAGGCAGATGACACCAACCAGTAGAAAACGTTGGTGTCCTGAACGTCCAGAGACAGTCGCTCAGCTTCACATAATGATGTATCCTGGAGTCTTCTCTTAAGTCCCACACGGCGACCGAGCCATGCGCAGTTCCAGCGAAAAGCAGAAATGCTTTCAAGGGGCTAAAGCAGCAGCACGTGACCTAAAAAAACCAAACACAGAGAAAGCTGATGACTGAGGAACGCGAGAGCCCATGTTTGCAGAAGCTGAGCGCACTACTGCGGCAGGTGACCCTTTTTAACTTCACACAGGTGTCCCACGTGGAACACAGTAACTAGAATTTTGTACACAGATAAAATTTGACCTGTCTGCATGGTGGCTTCCTCACATGAAACACGGGGATGGCAAACCCACACTGCAGGACTGCCAGGATCACAGACGTGAGGTGCCCGGCACATGTCCAGTACATACACACCACACAGCTGGGCCTCAAAAAGTGGCAAGGCCATCCTGTGTCATTTGCTTACATCTGTGTCTAGGTTGGCCAATATTTTCGTGAGACCTATAACAACACTGGTTACCTCATTCTCAACAGACGTAAGAGGCTGCTCTGTGATACTACTGAGGTGACCCTGTGAACTAAGAATCTCCAGAGTCAAGCGAGCACACCCACGTGCCTTGTGGCACCCGCAGCAGAGTGGAGGGCAGCCGTAAGAGCCAGGGAGAGCCCTGTAATCCTCAACCCCCGCCTTGTCCCTGGACCCTCTCTCCTCTGCACCTTCACGACTGTCCACCACCCGTCCCCTCGTCAAACGCAGGGCTCTGCTCCTGGGCTGTACCTTGGACTCACATATCAGAACCTTCTGGGGCCCTGAGGGCTGCCAAATATCCCACACACAGAGGACGTATCTGCCATCCAGCTGGGGAGCAAATGCCTTCTCAGGTAAATCATGAACAGAGACCACCTTCTGCCTCTGAGCTTGAGAGACGTGCAAACAGGATACTTTTCGATCTAGGGATAAGAAAAATATTTTTGTGATCTGCCAGAATCCATCTTAACACACTTCAGAATACTCAAATGAATTTCAGCCTAATGAGGAAACATGGTCCTTTCAAAACAGTACGTACATGAAATGTGGGTTTTGATGAATGGCCACAGCCTGGATCTGAACGCTCTGTCCCAGTTAACCTTATGGTTTGGCTAACAGGAAATCCTTCAAACGTGGCACAATGCAGCCTGAGACAACTGCCATGTCTCTCATCTACTGGCCATTCCCACAAAAGCCAAGCTGCACATGCGCTCGGGGTCAGAACCTCACAGCTGGAAGACACGCTGGAAATGACCTCGGCTGACCCCTGTGCTTGGCCCCAGACGGCGCACTGTGCCACTCAAATGCAAGGAGCAGCTGAGGTCGGTTCTGGGCTCATGCACTCCCTGCAAACGGACCACATTCCAGGACTCAGCAGCTCCCGCAAGGCAGCAAAAGTGGCTGACAGAAGAGCTGAGGCAGAGGAATGTTAAGTCAGTGGCTGGCGAGGACTGTGTAGCCAAAGAACGAGACAGTGCTGCTAGAACCAGGCACCAGGTGAACACAGAAAGCCCTCGCTGTCCTGAGACACATGCACACACCCCAGACACCCACCAGCCCCTCAGTTCACGTCCTGTGACAGCCCACACCACCCACACCTGTCACAGCGTCCCTCCTCCCATCTACGCACAACCACTCACAGCTGCAACCCTCCAAGGCCCACTTCTACTGGAAAACTTCAGGTCTTCTTCCAAGAAGAGTGCCATATTATTGTAATAGTTGTGTATTTCTTAACCATTAACATGTGTAAAACTGTGCCACTATTACTGGGCTCCTTTTTGTGTGTGACAATGACAAAGTTTTCCAGTGCTGTGCCCTGACTCCATTTCCCCCATAAGCCCTGTGGGTTTTGTCAGAAATTGTCCATGGTATAGTGACTTTTAGGAACATGCACATCCTGTTAGAGCAGAACTGACTGCACAACGACCAGCAGGAGCTCTGATACGTCAAAGCCCTAACCTCACCTCTGCCATCGCCATGGCGTCCTCGCTGACCAGATGCACGGTGTGTGCAAGCTTCACCGCCTGTGCGTGCGGCCCTCCTCTGGCAGCTGCCCACTCTCTGTGGCCCTCGCTCTCATCTCCCTCTGCTTTTCACACACAGAGAGGCCTTCTCTGTCAGAAATTGTCTTTACTCTTCTTCTTAGAACTTTTCCTTTTCTAATATACTGCATGTTTTACTTGTTTAGCCGGTTCATAGTCAATTTGACCCACTGAAATAATAACGCAAGTTCCAGGAGGAAAGGGCCCCTGTCTGTCACGTTTGGATCTGCTGTTGAATCCCAGCTGCCTCAGCAGCACGCAGGACACCCAGGCCCCTGCCAGACGCGGTGTCACCGTGAGCATGTTCTAACAGCGAGGATGGAGCTGGGCAGACTCTAGCAAGACTGAGGCAGCACATCTGACCACAGACCAGGATCTAATGTGCGTTGAACCCCAAGTTCACAGGGGTGAGACGACCACTCATGGGTCAGACACCCTTTCTTGCCAACCTCGTATTCTTCCTGTTGTCTCAATATTTATTTCACTAAGACACAGAAATAAGCAAATGAGAAAACCCTCCACAGTGGGAAGTCCTTTAAGAACATGCATAGTTTGCTTTTTTCGAGGATTCCAGATGTATGTATCATTAACATTTTTGGTACCTGCGGTCACTGAGCACAGAGCATCATGAGCTTTCTCTGTGGGGTGGGATGTGGGAGGGTAGATGTCAATGTTGTCAATGCTACGGGTAAAAGAATTTACTATTTTTCTAACAGGATAGCTCTTCTGTTTAAGATAAACAAAATACCCTCAACAAATGTGAAGACCATTCAATTAGCAATGCCATTTTTGATAATGTTAAAAGACAGACACGTGTACATAAATTAAACACCTAAACAGCAGGCAGGACAGAAGAAATGCCCAGGACTAGTTGCCCCCACCACCCTGGCTTCATGTGGGCCAGGAGCATGTCTATCCCAGAGCAGCGGACGCTGGGTCGTCCCTTCCTGTCACCTCTTTGTGGAAACCAGGACCCTAACTGCTACCAGTTACCATCACAGTCACTTTTAAAGGCAAAGAGGTTATTAGCTTAAGAAATTTAAATTTGGTCTTGCAAAAGCAGTTTGTTTAAAATAATTTGAACAACTACAGGCAATTACACATTATTTTTGATATGTGCTTCATTTGTTTGGCATTTTAGATTCTATAACCATGGATTAACTTAAAAATCTACATGTATCTACATTAGGTATTATGGACTGAACTCACACATAGCTGTGTCTAAACTACTGACACAGGTGTGACCTACACTGCTAGAAACTGACTTTCACGCTCCTCCAATTATTTCCTCTATGCTAAAGAAACTGAACAATTGGGGGGGGAAAGAAAATAGAATTTCAAATAAACATAGGAAATCTCAGTTTCCATTCATTAAAATAATCTCACTCATTCAAATTACTGTATATCCCCTTTTAATCATCTTATGAAAGTGGCTAATCATAAATTTAACACACAAATTTAAAGGAAACTAACCGTTTACTTTTGAGTTCCGCAAGCACTGAGTCGTTCTCTGTTTCATATACAACAAGCCCCATGACATTAAAATAAAATGTAGCATTGAAGACCACCAATTCAACATAAATGTGTGACAGTGAGATTCAAAACAACATTCAGAAATGGCCTCTTACTTTGTAGGAAGGACAGGCTAGTGTTCAGCTGAGACGAGCTTTCGCTGATGCATAAGGCGCCGTCCTGGGCACGGAGAGCCCAGCTGGGTCCAGCTGCCGCACGGTCCTCTTCCAGCAACACGGCTACCACCTTCCAACAGCAATGAGCAGGCTCCAGTGAGACATGCGGCACTGCGGGAACACATCCCAACAGTGCCTTCTCCACTAATCCATCCCATAAATAACTGCCTGGCTCCACCATATCATAACAACAAAAATAAAGTTATAAAGTTCTTTCTGCACAATATAGGAAATACTGAATATCTTTCAAATTATGATAAACTCAGTAACAGAGCAATGACTTAATCCTACTTGCTTCTTATACTATATACACGGCTAAAACCCACAAGCGGAAAAAGGCTGTATGGCAAAGACAAAATTGAACAAAGTAGTGGAAACCATCAGGCAAAGTCCCTTTTATTTTCAGTGGGCTTTAGCTAAAATCAGAACTCAGCAGTAAATTGCTGTAATTGCCCCAACAGGGTCATCAGTAGGATTTTAAAGGGAAAAGGTAAAATATTGGTAGAATGCACAGGACTGGTATGGAAAAAAGCATAAACATTGAGCTTCATGGACAGGATGGAGTAAAGAAAACAATGTTTAGTAAAAGCGGACAGGATGGTGCTCAGGAAGGTGAAGGATGTTCAGTGAGAACCGACAAAATGGGGATAAGGAAAGTGACAAACATTCAGGGAGAACGATGACAAGTAAGAATGGCAGAGCATGTTGTGTGGGAACTGACAGGATGAGAGTGAGGACGGAGGGATGCTCAGTGAGGACTGACGGGATGAGAGTGAGGACTGAGGGATGTTTAGTGAGGACTGACGGGATGAGAGTGAGGACTGAGGGATGTTTAGTGAGGACTGACGGGATAAGAGTGAGGACTGAGGGATGTTTAGTGAGGACTGACGGGATAAGAGTGAGGACTAAGGGATGCTCAGTGAGGACTGACGGGATTAGAGTGAGGACTGAGGGATGCTCAGTGAGGACTGACAGGATGAGAGTGAGGACTGGGGGATGCTCAGTGAGGACTGACAGGATTAGAGTGAGGACTGAGAGATGCTCAGTGAGGACTGACAGGATTAGAGTGAGGACTGAGGGATGCTCAGTGAGGACTGACAGGATTAGAGTGAGGACTGAGGGATGCTCAGTGAGGACTGACAGGATTAGAGTGAGGACTGAGGGATGCTCAGTGAGGACTGACGGGATGAGAGTGAGGACGGAGGGATGTTCAGTGAGGACTGACGGGATGAGAGTGAGGCCAGAGGGATGTTCAGTGAGGACTGACAAGATGAGAGTGAGGACAGAGGGATGTTCAGTGAGGACTGACAAGATGAGAGTGAGGACAGAGGGATGTTCAGTGAGGACTGACAGATGAGAGTGAGGACTGAGGGATGCTCAGTGAGGACTGACAGGATTAGAGTGAGGACTGAGAGATGCTCAGTGAGGACTTAGAGTGAGGACTGAGGGATGCTCAGTGAGGACTGACAGGATTAGAGTGAGGACTGAGGGATGCTCAGTGAGGACTGACAGGATTAGAGTGAGGATGGAGGGATGTTCAGTGAGAACTGACAAGATGAGAGGAAGGACGGAGAGAAACACTTAGTGAGAACTGACAGGCAGGAATGGGGAAGGTATCAGTATTGCTCCCTAACAGGACAGGTGATGGCAGGAAGGTCTGCTGAGAACCGATAAGATCGTGTATAAGGCAGACAGCGTTGTAGAATGTAAAGCAGAGTTGTGAGGTTAACATGGCCCAGTTGCCCTGTTTTTCCTCTCTTGGGCACCCATCCTATCTTCCCTCTTTATCTCTTGCTACAAACAAATGCTGTCTCTTCTTTTTTTTTTTTTGAGACAGAGTCTCACTCTGTTGCCTGGGCTAGAGTACCGTGGCATCAGCCTAGCTCACAGCAACTTCAAATTCCTGGGCTCAAGCGATCCTCTGTCTCAGCCTCCCAAGTAGCTGGGACTACAGGCACACGCCACCATGCCCGGCTAATTTTTTCTATATATTTTTAGTTGTCCACTTAGTTTCCTTCTATTTTTAGTAGAGATGGGGTCTTGTCCTTGCTCAGGTTGGTCTTGAACTCCTGATCTTGAGCGATCCTCCCACCTCAGCCCTCTACAGTGCTAGGATTACAGGCATGAGCCACCAAGCCCAGCCGCTGTCTCTTCTTAGTTCCCAGGAATTTACACTAAAATAAATCTGATAAAAATAATCTGTAGAGCCGGGCGTGGTGGCTCACGCCTGTAATCCTAGCACTTTGGGAGGCAGGCGGATTGCTCAAGGTCAGGAGTTCGAAACCAGCCTGAGCGAGACCTCGTCTCTACCAAAAATAGAAATAAATTAATTGACCAACTAAAAATATATATACAAAAAATTAGCCGGGCATGGTGGCGCATGCCTGTAGTCCCAGCTACTCGGGAGGCTGAGGCAGTAGGATCGCTGAGCCCCGGAGATTGAGGTTGCTGTGAGCCAGGCTGACGCCACGGCACTCACTCTAGCCTGGGCAACAAAGTGAGACTCTGTCTCAAAAAAAAAAAAAAAAAAATCTGTAGAAAACATTTGCTCTCTACAGATGTGATAAAGGGCTGATAACAAGAATCTATCTAATTTAAAAAAATCAGCAAGAAAAAAAAATCAAACAACCCCATCCATAAATGGGCAATGGAAATGAACAGAAATATTTTAAAAGAAGACAGAATGGTCAGGAAACATATAGAAAAATGCTCAACATCTCCAATCATTAGAGAAATACAAATCGAAACCACAATGAGATCACCTAACCCCAGTGAGATTGTCCTCTATCAAAAAATCCCTAAACAACCAATACTGGCGAGGATGCGGAGAGACAGGAATACTCTTACACTGTTGGTGGGACTGCAAATTGGTGCAACCTCTGTGGAAAATAATTTGGAGATACCTCAAGGAGCTAAAAATAGAAATACCATTCAATTCAGCAATAGCACTATTAGGCGTCCACCCAAAAGAGCAAAATACATTCTATAATAAAGACATCTGCACCCGAATGTTTATGGCAGCACAATTCGTTATTGCAAGGATGTGGAAACAACACAAGTGCCCGTCAATTCATGAGTGAATTATTAAAATTTGGTATACATTTACAATGGAATATTACTCAATCATAAGCAATGACACTGATCTAGCACTGCTTATATTTTCCTGGATTGAGCTTGAGCCCATTATCCAAAGTGAGGTAACACAAGATTGGAAGAATAGGCTCCACTTGTACTCGCCATCAAATTGGTACTGACTGATTAACACTATGGTGCTCACATGGTTGTAATATTCTCCATGGATGGGAGGTTGGGGGGGTAAACTCACAACTATAGGACACAGTGTGCATTGTTGTGGGGAGGGCATGCCTCTAACTCCCACTAGGGAGAGGGAATGATATAAAATGTTACCAAAATGTTTGTACCCTTACAAGATCCTGAAATTAAAAAAAAAATACATTATGTGGAGCATAATTGTACTTCATCAGCCACAGATTCCTACATGACTTGCTGAGGAGAAGTGTGACCACATGTTCACAGTAGGGTCTGCCATACATGCTTAATTCAACCTGTCAAGGTCTAGCAACAGTGTGCTCTTTATTGCTTCTCTGTACTTAAACTCTGAGCTTATGTGCAAAGAATTAACAGACAACTGAGGAAATCTAAACACTGACTTCATATTTGATCGTATATTAAATTATTACTAGTAATTGTTTTAGACATTCCTTTCTTTTAGAGATTCATTCAAATATTTATGGAGGAAAAGTTATGATGCCTGGGATCTGTTTCAAAATAATTTATGGGGTGGGTGGTGAGCGTATTTAGGAGTCAGATGAGAGAAATTGGCCATGAGTTCATAACTACTAAAGGTCACAGTGCCTCAGAGCACTGGTCCTTTTATTTTTGCGTGCAGTTTGAAAACTTCTATAATTACTTTTAAAAATCACAAGTTTATTTCTTTCAAATACCCTAGATTTATGCTTTCCTTGACATCTTAATATGCCCACTGTTTAGTCTGTAGTTATATAAAATGTAAGAAATTAATATTAAAATATAGAGGCTGGGCCTGGCAGCTCATGCCTAGAATCCCAGAACTTTGGGAGGCTAAGGTGGTGAGATTACTTGAGGACAAGAGTTCCAGAGCACGGCCGGGCATGGTGCTCACGCCTGTAATCCTAGCACTCTGGGAGGCCGAGGTGGGCCGATTGCTTGAGGTCAGGAGTTCGAAACCAGCCTGAGTGAGACCCCCCCCCGCCCCCAGTCTCTACTAAAATAGAAAGAAAATAATTGACCAACTAAAAATATACATAGGAAAAATTAGCTAGGCATGGTGGCACATGCCTGTAGTCCCAGCTACTCGGGAGGCTGAGGCAGGAGGATCGCTTGAGCCCAGAAGTTTGAGGTTGCTGTGAGCTAGGCTGATGCCACGGCACTCACTCTAGCCTGGGCAACAAAGTGAGGCTCTGTCTCAAAAAAAAAAAAAAAAAAAATTCCAGAGCAGTATAGGCGACACAGTAACACTTTATCCCATCTCTATAAAAGGTACAAAAATTAGCCAGGCGTGGTGACAAACACCTGTAGTCCCAGCTACTAGGGAGGCTGAGGCAGGAAAATTTCGTGAGCCCATGAATTTGCAGCTGCAGTGAGCTATGATCGAGCTACTGCAGTCAGCCTGGGCAACAGAGCAAGACCCTGTCTCTAAAAATAATAAATAAAATAAAATATAGAACCCAAATACACAGATAGTACTTTTAGTGATATACATTTACCCGGTGTCATTTTATACACAAGGAATGTACCACTGACAATTTGTGAGAAAATAATACCTGAAAATGATTAACTGACTGTGACTTATCTAAGCTATAGAGCCTTCCAGGTTTCAGTAGCGCCTACGTTCCTAGGTCTAATGGGACTTCAGGCACGGATGCCCAGAACCGAACATGCAATGCAGAGAGTACCTGGCAAGCTTCCCGCAGAAAGCTTGACAGCCGTGGAGTATCAATCTTTGGTATGACTGGAGCATCAGAGGTATCTCTTTTGTCACTACCTAGAAAAATAGGTTATATAAAATCAACAAAGTTGACTCTGAAACAGTCGTACATTGCACATCTTAGACTTCAAAGAGATGTTACAAATGAACACTAAGAGTCCCAGAAGGAAACGTCAGAAAACTTTACATTACATTCCCTAGGTTTACTAGTGATTTTTTCCAACAACAATTGTGTATTGTTTTATAGGATGTCTGTGTACTGAATCTTGTTTACATGTATTAAGAAAAACAGTTAAAAGAATCAATTTAATTATTACATAAGTTTAAGTGTCTTTCTTTCTCAAGGTGAGGATTACCCAAGGAAAGGAAGTAATGTGTATCCTTGTCACACAGAGATAATTCCTTAAGAAAAACTGTCAACCAGGAAAGTATTTAACACATAAATAGTTCCATAGTCACTGGCAGAAACCATGTATTCTAGGGATCTTCAATCTATATAGATGGAAGATATTTACAAAATGCACTTAAAACGTAAAAATTCTGTATTCGTGAGAACAGACTATTTTCCTAAGAGCAGAGTATGTTCCAAAAAGCCCTACTGTACAGGGGTTGTTTGGGATGTGGGATGTTTCCTTATAGCTGGCAATAAAAACATTCTAAATGTTGGTCATAGCCCCGACTGGGCCCCAAGACCGGGTTTCACTCCCCTTCTAGGTCCACAGCTCTGATGTTTGTGGTCACTGTTCTACTCAAAGGGTATAGGGTCTTTCCACAGTCACATATGAACACCCTTCCCCAAGAGAAAAGACAGAAAGAGAAAGAGAAAGAAAGGTATTAAGTAAAAATAAAAGCAAAAAAATCAGCCAGACTCACGCCTGTAAGCCCAGCACTCTGGAAGGTTGAGGCGGCAGGACGGCTTGAGCTCAGGAGTTCAAGACCAGCCTGAGCAAGAGCGAGACGCCGTCTCTACTAAAAATAGAAAAATTAGCTGGGTGTGGTGGCACCTGTAATCCCAGCTACTGGGGAGGCTGAGGCAGAAGGATGGCAGGAGCCCAGCAGTTTGAGGCTGCTGTGAGCTCTGATGATACCACTGCACCCTACCAAGGGCAACAGAGAGAGACTGTCTCAGAAAAAAAAAAAAAAAAAAAAAAGTAAAGACAGTCAACCTTCAACTCAAGAGCAAAAAGAAGTTACCTCCACAGACAACACTGCTTTCTCCTGGATGCTGGGTCCACACTTCCCTGGTCTCTATTTCTTCAGTTTGAATGTCCCTTTCCACATTATCTTCATTATACTGAACATATGCCTTAAAAACAAAAATATGTTTGAATTAATATTTGGTCTGAATTTCAGAGCACTTTGTCATTACTGAAATAAAAACAAAAATTAAAAAGAAATGATAGTCTTGCTGGTGTCAAAAATAAGTATCATGGCATACACAACAACTGTGCAAAGACTGCCTGTGTCTTAAACATTTGAGATACATACGTGCATATAGGCATAATTTTCAAAAGTGTTTTCTTTTTTTTTTTTTTTTTTTTGAGACAGGATCTCACTTGGTTGCCCAGGCTAGAGTGAGTGCCGTGGCATCAGTCTAGCTCACAGCAACCTCAAACTCCTGGGCTCAAGCAATCCTCCTGCCCCAGCCTCCCGAGTAGCTGGGCCTACAGGCATGTGCCACCATGCCCGGCTAATTTTTTCTATATATATTAGTTGGCCAATTAATTTCTTTGAATTTATAGTAGAAAATTTCGTCACTTTTTAATACGTCTGGTACTAACCTGCTTGGTGTTTTTCTTCCCAAAGTTTCTGATGTACATGTCATATTCATTCACTGGTGGTAGATCCAAGAGAGAGAAAGTGAATGAAAAATCTATGTCAATAAGCCGAAGCAGTTTTGTACTTCGTGTCCTTTAAAATAAGTTGGAAATGAGACAAAAGTTAAATTGAATAATATATATAGGGAGTGTAGAGCGAATGGAAGGAACCTTATGGTTAAATGCAGGTTATTGTCAGGGAGCCAACTTTTTTTTGGGGTATGAGTCTGAGGTATCTAACAGTGGTTAAAAATAACTAAAACACAGTCACATGTGTACCCACAATGTGAATGTATCATGAACCAAACGTGTGATTATCCCAACACGGTGCACCTGAGGTTGACACAAATACAGTGATGACACACGTGTGCCTGCAGTTGTCACAAGCAGGAGTTCACTGCACTCGAGGAGCTGACGTGCCTTGGCTGGAGGGTGACATTTCTGCCACAGCACCTGAGCTGCAGTCAGGCTGCACGGCCGGCAGGGCTTTCAGGCCTGGCTCCTCTCCAGGCCACACGGGCAGACTGCCCCCAGGACTGACCCGCGGGCTGCATGGGATGTGGCTAATCACCCTCCACCCTCAGCTTCCGAAACACTGCATCCACCCTACCTCCTCTTGTCTCACGGACTGGTCCTTTCAGTCACTGTGCCACTTCCCCCTTTCCTTCCAGACACCCCAGTGTATCTGTCATCTGTCACCACCAACACCCCCCCCCCCCGCAGGAGTATGAGCCCATCAACCCATATTTCACACAGCTGGTGCTCAATCAATACACAGTGAACGAGGGAGGGAGGAGTGGTCCTTCCAGCATCCAGGCATCTCAGCGACGTGCTCCCACTGCTCCTGGAGCACAGGCCCTCAGAGGTTAACTACAGCCCATTCATCATGGAGAGAAGCCCCAGGAGCCTCGGTTTTTCCTGCTGGCGCTCGTCTCTGGGCTGCCTACTGGGCTGCCTAGGGGTCCCTGCTTAGCAATTCAGCTCTCCCAGCACCTACACGATTGGCTCCTGGATCACACACCTTCCGTTTAATCCCCACAATAGTTTGTTGTCCTGACTTGACCTCAAGTCTTACATGATCTCTGCCCATTTTCAATGAGGGATATTTGCTTACTAAATTATAAAATATCTTATGCACTGGAGATAGTAAACGGCTACCGTATATTTTGCAAATATATTTTCCCAACTGGTCAGTTACCTTTAAATTCTGTCATATTCATGGACTACTGTGCCTTACAGAAATTTGATTTTTTGAGATGTAATCCATAACTTTTTAAATTTTTTGTTTTTATTCTTAGAAAGTCCTTTCCTATCACTGAAATAACTACTTATATTACCTATGCTCTTCTTTTTACTTATCTTTTTAATCCAGTTAGAATTTATCTTGTATATATTGTGAAGCAGGCATCTATCTTCCCCCAAATTTCTAATGAATTTATGTAATTTATGTCTAGTAATGTAAGTGCCTCTATAGTTTTTGTCTTCTCTGTATCTGTATTTCCTCACAACACACAAACACACAAATGCCGGACTCTTCCACATTCCTCTCAAGCTGTGGTCCCCAACCCCTAGTGCTGGTCCGTGGCCTGTCAGGACCCGGGCTTCCCGTCCCCTCTTGAGCTGTGCCTCCGGGTCTCCCTGGTGCCCCCATGCCAGAAAGGTTGGGAACCTTCTCAAAAATGTTTTTATTTATTATCAATCCATTTATGTCTCAGCCTTTGGCTTTTTAAATTGTCCTTTTAAAATATTTAATATAATTTCTGATCCAAAATAATCCACGATACACTTGCATGTTATGTATCGTAATGTAATTACCACCCTAGGACGAGCCTAACCCAGAGCCAAGAAGGCACCAATGACCTGTGTCCACACAGGGCTCCTCTGTCCCTGTCCCCAGACCCCCACTGCTCACAACAATCGCTACCCTGAGTTTTGTGGTTATCATTTTCTTGCTTTTTAAAATATGTTATCTCATATTTATGTGCCTAAAACAACACACTGTGTAGCTTTGGCTTTTTATGAGTTTGTGAAAATTGTGTTAAACCATCCGTAGTTTTCTGAGAACTTGAATAATGCAAAAAAATAAAACCTAACCATAGGATCGGAAACTTTCATTTTATAATCTCAACAGGAGAATCAAAATATAAGAGCAACAAAAATTCTGTGAAAACTGTTGTTTTTATTAATAACTGATTTGTTCATTTAGCAAGTACTTACTGAGTAATTACTAAGGCCAGGTACTAAGCTACGTGACATGGATTTTAAACCCACTTTTTGAAAAAAAAAATCTTTATTTTTTTCATTTACTCATGGATAATATTTGGATTTAGTCCAAGGGATCCTTGACTTGAAAATAATCTTTTATAAATTTCTACACTTTATGAATCTCTAAATTCGCAGGAATCAGGAGCGTGGACTCTGGCGTCCAGCAGCCTTGGGCTCGACGTCCAGCTCAGCCCTGCACAGCGGCTGGCCCTGGGCGTGCCCCGCGTCCGTGAGTGGGGCTGTGGGACAGGGGTGACCCATGGGAAGCACAGCGCAGGCTGCAGCACGACGCAATGTGAGGGCGCCTAGCGCCCGTCTACTAGGAAGGGCAGGGGATGGGTTTGTGCCCTGGGTCACTCCTGCTTCCTTGGCTTCCTCTCCTGAAAACAGGCCAGTGACACTCAGCCCGGGGCTCTCACGGGACCCCTGACACCGCTGCACCTGCGGGGAGGGTGGTGCCATGCCAGAGGCAGCACACGCTGGGCCAGGCCACCCCACTGCTCTGTGACAGCTGCTGGGATCCTCCCTCAGCCCACACGGGCGCGGACCCTTGAGACAGCTCTGGCAGGCAGCCGTGCCCAGGGTCTCGTCTACAGCAGCACATGCCTGCACTGTTAACGTAACATTCCGCACACAGGGACATGGAGTGCAAATTATATACCTAAACAGTCCGTAGTGAAAACAAAATAGCAGGCTCTATTTTTTTAAAAGTGTGTTGAAGAAAAGTATATTAACACCTTTCACAAATTTCCCAGTACACCTACTTTTGCTTAAGGGCCTGAGTCCGACTCTTTTGACGGTGTGAAGCTGTCGCAAAATCCACAAAAATTCCACAAACAGAGGCTCTGGACGGGGAACTATTTGTATCTGTATAATGGGGACAAAAAGGTATTTTTTATGACATTAAAATATTTCTTCCAAGTAAAAAAATCAAGAGCAAAATAGTTTGAAGCATATATAAAAGTTATACTCAGTAAGCTCTTCACTCAAGATCAACAGCAACAATTAGCACCTTTCACAAGCGTTTAAGAGGCCTCCTACTGCATATCTCGTCTAAACCTTCAAGTACCAAAGCGAAGGTTACTTACTGATCATCCACTGTATGTGCCCATCACACCACTGAGTTTCAGAAACATTTATGAATGCATAGCAGATGCAGTACACACACCAAAAAACAAATAAATAAAGATTATACTCTAGTGAGGGAATTGGAACATGAATATACAAAATAGCTAAAAAACAGAAACAAGTGCAAATTATTACTGGATCAATTACTTAATATTCCAAAGAACACAAAACAAAGGAGAATGCAGGTGAGAGCATCACCAGAAGACTTCCTAAAGTTTCCAGAGATGTGATGAGATTAACCACTAGGCTGCGGGAAAGGGCTCATGTTACAATGAACAAATCTGTCCACTACCCTTCCTGGAAGACACGATCTCTCCTCAACCCACCTCTTTTCCACTGAAGATTTCTGTGGTTTCCTGTATGTACTTACCCCCATCTTTGTTTATATTATATATTTATTCCAATTGTATCTTCATCTGTCTTCTCATCCCTTTGGACATGCGTTTAGACTAACCCCACCATCATACAGTTGTACAGAACTCACCCCCTTTTCCGCACATCATCTCCCTGGACCGCACAGCAAAGCTGCGAGGACAGAGACTAGAGGGTGTGGCTCAGGAAACCCAGCCCAGCCTCGGCACCGCCGTTGCTGGCATCACAACCACAGGAAGTGACTTTACCCCTGCACCCCAGCTTTCTTGTCATCAGTAAATGTACAGGATTAAGATAACGACTAAAGCAGGCTGTGTTTATGAAAAGCACCGTGCCAACTGCAAAGTGCCACACAGACATTAAGAGATGTCATTGTTCTAGTTTTAAAAATAAGGAATCTGGCAGATGAGTTTAAAGTCACAGAATTTTTTTTTTTTTTGAGACAGAGTCTCACTGTATTGCCCGGGCTAGAGTGCGTGGCATCAGCCTAGCTCACAGCAACCTCCAACTCCTGGGCTCAAGCAATCCTTCTGCCTCAGCCTCCTGAGTAGCCTGGGACTACATGCATGCGCCACCATGCCGGGAGCTAATTTTTTATATATTTCTACATATTTTTAGTTGGTTAATTAATTTCTTTCTATTTTTAGTAGAGACAGGGTCTCACTCTTGCTCTGGCTGGTCTCGAACTCCTGACCTTGAGCGATCCACCCACCTCGGCCTCCCAGAGTGCTAGGATTACAGGCGTGAGCCACCTCACCTGGCCTAAAGTCACAGAATTAAGACTTGAACAAAGACACCCCTGGAGCAGAGCCCACACCCCCGTACCGGGTGTCAGCACTCAGCAAACACTTGTTCCTTGTTCGCTGAACAAGAGCTTCAGGAGGTGTATGACCTCATTCAAACACCACAGTGACTTTGGTGTACTGGAAAAAGTTATTTATCAGATGGTTTGCTACTGTCCTGAAAAAGGACAAGTTATGCAGTTTATGCTCAAATATTTCAATCACCACAGGGTGCGAGCATTTCATACAAGATAATACCAAGAGGCTGGGGGTGCCAAGCAGGATACAGAGAAGGAATACACTCCACCGGCCACTCGATGGGGGTTATAAATGGTAGCGCACCTACCTTCCTCAGCGCTTAGGACGGCCTGGCACTCTTCTAAGGCACTTTGTGTGTACTAGTTTATTTAACTGATCCTTACAACAACCCTGAAGAAAGTCTTGTCTTTATTTTACGGATGAGGAAACTAAGACAGAGAGGTTAGGCAACTGCCCGAGATCACACAGCCAATAAGTAACGGAGCTGGGTCTGAGATCCCAGGGCCAGCGCTGCCTCACACCGCTGTGTGCTCCCTCCTGCAGCACGGAACGAGGCTTCCACGCCGTGGCGGCCCTCACCACACCACGAACCTGCGCTAGCTCAGCGCTGACGACAGCCCAGAGGGCAGCTCAACCCCAGCTGAGTAGCAACAATTCCTTCAAATAAAAAATATGCTAAAAAATAATCTCTCATATTGGAGGTTATAAATTCTAATCCTGTAAATCAGGCTAATAAGGACATAATGCTAAGCATAAACACAGGAAATAGATAACAAAAAGGTTACTCAAAGGTCTGCTAAGAAAATCGGCATTTAAAGAATAAAATCTTCCTCACTTCCTGGCAACCCCAGGGCAGTGAGCTCTGAATGTCATCGTGAAATCCTGCCTGTTGGTGGCACCAGAAGCTACCGTGCGCACTGCCACTCCATAGAGAAGTCACACGACCAGCCCTGGACCCCAGCCAGTGGACAGGGCCAAACGGGCGGGTCCTCACCTCTGCCAGGACAGCCACCCCAGCTTCAGAGAAATCTTTCCAGCCCTAAGTATGTGGAGCACTCTGTCAGCACTGCCCAGCTGAGTTTGCTGCCTCTGTAGCAGGTACACGATATGAGAGCAATGATCATTCTGCAAAACCTTCTTCTGTATTACTGCATTATATTAATTACTGATTATAACTAATTATATTACTGATTATTTTACTAGATAAAGTAGTATATCATCCAATATTTTTAATATTTTCCTATCTTACCTTTAATGCTAATGTTTTATCAGAATGTCACAGTTTTCCCTTTATGCGGTTTTACTTTTTTTTTTTTTAGAGACAGGGTCTCACTCTGTCACCCAGGCTGGAATGTAGTGGTGAGATCATAGCTCACTGCAGCCTCAACTCCAGGCCTCAAGCAATCCTCCTGCCTTAGCCTCCTGGGTAGCTGAGACTATAGGTGCAGGCCACCATGCCTGGATGATTTTTCTATTTTTTTATGGAGACAAAAAATGTTGCCCAGGATGCTCTCAAACTCCTAGCCTCAAGCAATCCTCCCACCTTGGACTCTCAAAGTGCCGGGATTATAAGAGTGGGCCACTGCACCTAGCCCCATTAATTAATTAATTCATTCATTTATTGAGACACAGTCTCACTCTGTTGCCTGGGTTAGAGTGCTGTGGCGTCAGCCTAGCTCACAGCAACCTCAAACTCCTGGGCTCAAGCGATTCTTCTGCCTCAGCCTCCCGAGTAGCTGGGACTACAGGCATGCGCCACCAGGCCCGACTAATTTTTTCTATATAATTTTAGTTGCCCAGTTAATTTCTTTCTATTTATGGTAGAGACGGGGTCTCACTCTTGTTCAGGCTGGTCACAAACTCCTGAGCTCAAACAATCCGGCCACCTTGGCCTCCCAGAGTGCTCAGATTACAGGTGTGAGCCACCACACCCGGCCTCAGCCCCCTTTAAGTGATTTTAAAACATTGACTCCTACCCACACAAGTAACTATCATATCAAGACTCTAAGAATTTCCAGGAAAACTATGAATACATTTCTAATTTTGTTTAAAACAAATCCTTGAGGAAAAAGGCTCAGTCCAGAGCGTGAGCCATGACAGGCTCTGTCAGGCTGTGTCCCGAGCTTACGGCCCCTTGACCCCTCGGCCCTCTGCGGCAGCTGGTTCTCATCTGCCGACAGCCACAACGACTCCTTTGCAGAAACTCAAGGAGGGCACTACCAGGAAAAGCAAGGGCATGCTCACAGGCTGAGCCAGAAGCTGGCCACACAGGAGGAGACGTACTGATGCCCCCCTGAGGGCCAGAGCGCCCACAGTGCCCCCTGCCTGGGTGCTGGGTAGAGGTTAAACATCTTCTGTGTGCGCCACATGTGCAACAAGGGGCCTCGCTGTGACATCAGGACCTGCCTGCCCGTCAGAACAATGCCGTCTCTGAGGCTCAGTCCCCAGCACCCCAAGGGCAGGGATGCTGCTCGCTGACCGACACACATACCTGTTCCGGACTCCCTTTCAAGTTCCGTTCCACCTTGTTTCCGAGACAGTTTCAAAGATAGCTCGCCAATCCTCTCATTTTCCGCACTGATGGCTTTTTGAATTTCTTGTATCTCCCTTTTTTGGGCTGGAGGAAGCTCTTCCAGTGTCCCCCGTGGCTCGAGCTCAGCACTGCCGTCCTCGTCGCCATCACAGACCTCAAAGTCGTCCTCGTAGTCCTGCAAACAACAACAGTGCTTTTGGGGCCTTTAAGACAAACTGACTTTATCAGCACTTGTCCTGAACACAACATCACCACTTACCATTTCTAATGGACAAAGTCCTTAGAATGGCTAAGGAAGACTTTTATAGGTCACTGATTTTAATGTCACTGAACTATTACATAAACCCATATAAACTGCTGCATTTGTTCCTCCAAAAATAAATCACACCATATAAAACCACATATACCAAAGCTATTGGAAAAAATAATGTGAAAACATTTGTGCCGAGAAGGTGAAAGTGTATGTATGTACATAGATACACACACGTTTGAATATGATACACTTAAATGCAGGTTAAATCGTAAAATCATTTAATTACAGTGTACTGATAAGCATTGGTAGCAGTATAACAAGCTTTTTATAGGTAACAGCTAGACCTAAATTAATCAGATATTGAGTATTAAGTAATAAAAAGAGAGGAAAAAAGCTATTAAATTATTATATATAAGCTGATTTTAAGAATAAATGATTTTTAAGCTGAGAAAATTTTTAAGTTTTATACCTACTTCAAAATCATCTTCAAAACTGGCTGTATATTCATTAGCTCTAGAATTTTCTGAATCAATCTCTTCCTTTTCAAATTCCTAGAGGTAAAAATCAAACATAAAACAAAAAAAATTCAATCATAAATGTTAATATTGCAAATAGGTTGGAAAAATATACATGTTTTCTGAGATTCGCTTGTTAATGCTAATTTCAACATGTAAGTATTTATAAAACATAACATAACTTCAAACTCTTGTAAGAAATACCCTTGCTAATATATAGGTGTGACCAAAAAGAGAAAACAATTAATAAACATATCCTTTTGGGGAAACATCTATAATCCTAGTGGCTAAAAGTAATTTTTAAAAAGAATTATACAAATGAATTCCAAATGTTGAGCAATCCATTTCTTACCCATGAATATATATAATATAATATATGCCCACTGAATGGTGCGCACCTTACTGTTGAGGTTAGGAACAGCCAGAACAATGTGCTCTGTGCAGAGGCAGCCCTGGCCCCTTCCTTCCCCGGAGAAGATGACAAGCTGCTCCCATCCTGCCTGGGACTTCCTGTCAGAGGCACTGGGCTAACCAGCCCCTCTGGGGTAAACAGGGTTCCGCCAGGCTATGGGGGCAGAGTGTGCCTGGCCAGGCTCTGAGGCCTGGGGCACCCCCACAGAGCACCGAGGCCGTCAGGGTCTGGGGCTGAGGGCAAGAGTTTGCCTGGAAAAGAGAGTTGAAACATATCCTAGGCTTCTAGACCCAGAGGGTAGCGGAAATGTGACATATGTTTAGAAAACTCGTATTTCTAGACTCAGAGGGTAGCGGAAATGTGACATATGTTTAGGAAACTCGTATTTCCCACCAAGGCTGTTTCTCCTCTTATCTACAAGTGCCCTGCACACCCTCGTTACTGGCAACAGCGCTCCCAGACACACCGTCACAGACTCTCCAGGGGTCCCGCGGCTGCCCAGGCCCACCCCACCTTGACTGTCACCAGGGGCCAGCACTGTCCCTCTGGGCTCCCTCCGCATTCCCAAAGAGCTCGCGGGCACCTGAGGCAGAACCCTGAGCACACCACAAAGCCATCTCGGGGGCTGTGACTGTCACCCGGGGGGTTAATGGGGTGGCTGTGGGGCGCCTGAAGCAGCAGGAGAGTGGTGCTGGCACAGACCTGGCCCAGGTGTGCAGCAGGGGAGGTGTCGGCGCCACCGGCCAGGACGCGGACACACAGGGAGAGATCGGGGAGGGTCAGCAGGGTGGGCCGCCAGGGAAGCGGGTCCCAGGAGGGCTGCGGCAGAGCCGGGGCAGGGACGGAGGCCATCCTGGGGCACAGCACTGGGGCTGACGGCGACCTCTCACCTCTGGAGCCTGGGGAAGTGCTGGCCAGGCAGCACCGCCGCAGGACAGATTGTTTTCCTCCAAATTCCTGGTTTAATAAGGACCAGGAATGGTCCTTATTTAATGTTTGTTTTGAGTCCAAACATCAGGCTATTCACAAAAATAAACCACAGTATCAACTTTAAAAAACAAATCTTGAGACTATTACACTAATTATTTTTCTAGGGGATGTGTGTGACATGCCAGCTCCCATTCACAAAAAAATTATCACCCCGTTTGTGCGGAACTGCCCCTCCACAGCCCCCTTCTGTGGGGCGTCACACACAGCTCCAACTCGGTGCTGCTCTCGGGGGGCTGCTGACCAAACGAGACCGCCCCGGCAGCGAGGGGAGCAGCTAAGACTCACGTAGGAACGGAGAGAGCTGTCCTCCCTGCACTACAAGAAGTTATTCTGGAGACAGCTGAGAAAAAACATACACCCTTTTTACTGGTAAGTCATAAAGAGGCATCAAAATTAAAAGCAAAGGATTATAGGGTAAGACTTAACAAAACTACCAGGAGCATCAAAGGACGTGAAAGTGGGACCAGGAGCAGGGCAGCTTGAGTTAGTGAACGTGGGAAGGACGCGGAGGGGAGAACGGTTAGCATGTGCCAAAGACGCCGGGGCAGGGTCTGCTGAGAGTTCTGATCTCAGACAAGCGCCTCGGGAAAGCAGTGTGGTAAAAGTCCTGAACCCCACTATGTGCTGAAGAGCCAGGCCCGCCATCGGCGCTGTCTCTGCCATCTTCCCCTTCCTCAGCCTCTTTTCCATCCTCCTCAGTCAACTCCAGCTGTCACCCTGATCTTCACTGTCACCTTCCCCTCCCAGACACTCACCGCCTCTCCTGGGAGCTGCTGCCTGCCCCCTCCGACTTGACACTCTCCCTCCCTATTGCCTGTTTGCTCTGCCCCTTCTCAACTCTTCCTGGGTTTCCCAGTAGAGGATATACTGTTTGTCTTATCTGGGCCAATTCCTTCCAAACAGCCTGAAGGTCATCCCGTCAACTGCCCAGACATGGAAGAAGAACCACACTGCCCACTCTTGGAATGGAAGCCAGCTTCCCCTCCAGGAGGTGTTTCCTGACACACGCTGGCACGGTGAGGGCACCTCGCCGGGCAGGAGGAGGAGGGACACGTGCTGGGTGACTGTACGTCCTAGCATCATGACCCAGTGAAAGCCACAGTCCAGTCAAAAGAGGAGCCACTGCCTCCGCTGCAGATGGTTTCACACCTGGTTTCCTCGATGCACTTTTGGCTCTGCAGCCAGATCAGTGTCCAACACGGGCCCAGCCATCATCCTGCCACCCTGTCCTGCTACACTTCTCTTGCTAACATGCCGAAGGCAGGCAAAGCCCTTACTGACGGAGTAACCCGCCGTTGTGCCATATTTCGAGAAGATTGTCTCCACAGCAGAGCTTTGACCACCAGGGCGTTGAGATGCCCAGTGAATACTCGGGAGTTCACGGAGCCAAGGTCTGTCTTGCTGGCAATGTTGCTGGCCACTGCGTTTGATGATAAGGTTCCTCGAGAAGCCAAACAATGTAGCTGAAGGTCAAAAAAATCTCATGGTGGTGGAGGGAGAAGAGACCTGAGTCCGAGGCTCCTACTCCTGGGTTCCACGTGGAGAAGCCCAGTGCTGCTCCAGGTGGACAACGCAGGCGCAGCTGCGCAGTCTCCATCTCTTCACAGAATGGCCCGCAGAACAGATGCACGGTGCCGTAAGACACCAGCAATTCCTCACACCCGGAGGAATGTGCTGCCTCTCTAGACACGACGTGCCCCGCCTGCCCCAGCAGCGAGGACTGGACAGCGCACACCAGGCACACAGGGTCAATGTGGGCTATCGCGCATGGAGAGAACTGCCCCACCCAAGGTCCTTCTGGGGACTTCCCGTTCCACGTGCGAGGAGTCAACCAGCCACAGGTAAAAGGCTGAACAGAGCAAAACACCCACAGTCCTTTCTGCGCCTGCAAGAGAGGGGAGGGTACAGGCAAACCCGGGCCCAGGACGGAGCTGACTTGCCAGGGGAACCACCACAGGAGCCAGGCTGCTTGTGAAGCCCGGACCTCAACCGACAGGCTGTGGAGGCTCAGGAACAGACACGCCCGAGAGACAAAAATTCCTCGCAGTCTCAGGCCACGCTTCAGTGGGATTTACCTCCAGCAGTGCCACCTGGTGCTCACGGAGGAAAATCCCCAGGGCTTCCGGCTGGAGGGGAAGAGGAACGTCCTAGAACAGGCAGAGTGCTGTTCCTGTGAGGTCGTCCCCAAGAGGGGCTGCTGACAGAGCCCCACCAGCCATTAGGACCTGCTTGACAGGGAAGGGGACACCTGCCGGCAGCCCCTCCAAGTAGAGTGACGTCCGCAGTCCAGGGCACAGGCTCCCGGGAGACACAGACCTGCTCCTCAGTCGCAGGATGCCTCCCCCCACAGCTTGCCCCACACCACCAAAGGCCCGTCCACCTCGGCTCCTCCTGCCTGGCATGGTGCCCGGCTCTCGAGAAAAGATTACAGGCTGGGCACAGTGGCTCACCCTTGTAACTCCAGCACTTTGGGAGGTGAAGGCAGGAGAATCACTCCAGCTCAGGAGTTCAAGACCAGCCTGGGCAATATAGCAAGACCCTGTCTCCACAAAAAATTAAAAAATTAGCCTGGTGTGGTGGTACACACCTGTAGTCCCAGCTACTTGGGGGGCAAAGGTGGGAGGATTGCTTGAGCCTAGGAATTCAAGGCCACAGTGAGCTATGATCCCGCCACTGCACTCTAGCTGGGGCGACAGAGCGAGACCATGCCTCTAAAATGGAAAAACTCACAAGACATACTAAAAGGCAAAAAATACACTTTAAAGAGACAGAGCAAGCATCAGATCCAATGATGACAAGGATGCTGAAAACATCAGAGAGGAATTTAAAACAACTGTGATTAACATGCCAGGGCTGCAATGGATGAGCAGATGGCATGCAAGGACAAATGGACAATGCAAGCAGGCAGGTGAAACCACTTCTGATTCTTGGGGGAAAAAACAGTAAGAAATGTGGGGATCAAAACACTGCAACAGAGGCCAGGCACGGTGGTTCATGCCTATAATCCCACCACTCTGGAAGGCCGAGGCGGGAGGAATGCTTGAGCTCAGGAGTTCTAGGCCAGCCTGAGCAAGAGCGAGACCCTGTCTCTACTAAAAACAGAAAAATTAGCTGGGTGCAGTGAAGTATGCCTATAGTCCCAGCTACTAGGGAGGCTAAGGCAGCAGGATCACTTGAGCCCAGGAGTTTGAGGCTGCTATGAGCTATGATGATTCCACTGCACTGTGCTTTAAAAAAAAAAAAAAAAAGTAGGCTTTCTTTTAGATAATTTTGCCCAACCGTAGGCTAATTAAAGTAGGCTTAGCTAGGCTAGGATGTTCGGTATGCCAGGTGTATTAAATGCATTTTTTACTTACAATACTTTTAAGCTACGATGGGTTTGTAGCCCCATCGTAAGTCGAGGGGTGTTTGTATGTGACACCCTGGAAAAGGCAAAGCTACGAAGACACTAAAAAGGTCAGTGGTTATCACGAATAAGGGGGGAGGGAGGGACGAACAGATGGAGCACAAAGGGTTTTCAGGGCAGTGAATCTACTCTGTGTGACACTCTGTGGATACAGGTCATTATGTCCAAACCCGCAGGATGCAACACCAAGAGCAAACCCTGACGTAAGCTGTGGACTCTGGGTGACAACGGTGTATCCATGTAGTTCATCGACGGTGACAAATGCGCCACTCTGGTGGGGACGTTGGTAACAGGGGAGGCTGTGTGTGTGGGGCCGGGGGTACATGGGAAATCTCTGCACCTTCCTCTCAATTTTGCTGTAATCCCAAAACTGCTCTAAAAGATAAAAAACCTTATTTTAAAAAAGCAAGGTCCACTTAGCACAATGTCATATAAAGTCACTGAACATTATATCGAATAACACATTGCATTTACCGTATCAATAGCCACAACTGCTGATTGATAAGAACAAAAGCACAAGCTGTGCGGGAGTCAAGTTGACAGCATCACACTCCTCATTCACTTCCACGCTCAGTATGAGCCAAGGCTGACGTCTAGCGCTGACTCTGAAACCACAATCCATGCACTCAGCACACCTAGCGTGCACCCAGCACCCAGCCAGGCAGCGAGACAGAGGGGTGTGCAGCAGACACTGTCACTGCTTGGCAGAGCTAGAACCACACTGGGGGGACAAACCAGTGGGATGGGGACACGACAGTGCTGTCAGCAGGGACGCTGCCTGCCCCACGGGCCACTGAGCAGTGCCTCTGCTCAGCCACCACAGCTGCAGACCAGCCTCTTCAGAGTCACCTGCTATCAACTATTCTGTCTCACCTGGGGAACGTGATCACTCTGCTTTCACACAGACGCCTGAAAAGCGTTACTCTGCATGTTTCTCAGCAACATGGCCCAAACCACATCTCTGATGATTTCTCTAGCATCTTTGACATGACGCAGAGCAAAGACGAGAGGCTGGCTACTCACTCAACCTAAACCTCCTCCCCACCGAGCTCTTGCAGAACCGTGCCCCCTCTTGCAGAAGAACCAGGCTGTGGTGTCTGCAGCGCACAGTCTAGCCGCCTTCCTCTGCTCCCATCACCAGGACTGCCTTCAACGTGACCAGGGACTTTCCAGTGAGTGCAAATATCAATCTCATATTAAAATCTCATCAACTCCTTCATATTAGTGTTCTGTTGTCTAAAAGGAACACTAACTACACTAATACAGTGGTGACAGGAAAGCAAGGAAATGTGAGTGAAAGCATGTGTTTGGACAGGACTGTGGAAACAAAAGACGCACTGTCCTTACCATGGTCTCCTCGTGTCCTTGCCGATGAGCCAGCTTCCACACGGAGGAGCTCTCCTCACGGCTGTGCTAGGGAGAGAGGACAGCCACAGTCAGCGGGGAGCCGGCCAGCATCCAGGGACCACAGACACTGTCCCGGCCCCTCCGGGGGCTTCTCCTCAGCAGTCAGGTGCACAGGCTGTGAATCTGGGTCCCCACTTTTCGGTTTACAAACTGTGTGGTTGAGGGTAAGTAACTTCACCTCTCTGTGCCTCAGTTTTCTCCTCTGAAAATTGGGAATGGCTGTACCTACATCACAGCAGTAGTGAGAAGACTGGACGAGGCGCTGCCCCTGCACCACTGACCCCTGTGTCTGACCCAGAAAAGGCTTCCTGAGTGTCACCTACTATTGTCACAACTAGTAAGAGGTGACACGTAGAAGCCTCCACCCCAAACTCTTCAGTGTCTAACACTGGTGGCAACCTAATGTGTTATTCATGAAGAAAACAGGGAGAATTTTCCACGTGCCCAGAACGTTATTCTGGCACAGGGCAGGCTCTCCACACAAGCTGAACACTTGAAGCAAGACAAATTCAGTGTTTAACGCTATAAAACACAGGGCCCAATCCTAGGCCAAAACGAGCTTTCAGGAATCTTCATTCTTCTGGAATTTCTCCAGGGAAATATCACATATTTTACTCTTCTTAAAAAAAAAAAAAAGGAAAGCAAAATATCTCATGGATAATTTTTATATTGATTACAAGTTGAAAGAATATAATTTTAGATTTATTGGATTATATAAGATATTATTAAAATTAATTTCATGTTTCTTTTTTACACTTTTAATGTGATTATAAGAAAATTTATAATTATAAATGTGACTCACATTATAATTCTAGTGTATAATGCTAATCTGGAGCTTAGAGAAAAAAACTGGAGACATGAGGAAAACAGAAAAAAACTATATATATTTTCATCTAACAACTCCACAATTCCATATCAAGAAATTTATTCATAAAAGAATGTGGCAGATCTATGAGGGCTGTCTGGAAAGTACCTAGCCATTGTTAATATAATGAGAACATGTTACATGGCTGGGTACCTTCCGGACAGCTCTGTATATCACTCTTACTGAAGGGATTTCCACAATGAACCAAGTGTGTGTGTGTGTGTGTGTGTGTGTGTGTGTGTGTGTAAAACAAAACAAAATGGCATTCAAACTCCCCAAAATACATACCAATATATTATTATAAATATGAGAAGAAATATTTGTAAGGCTTTTTCCTGTGGTAAGGAGTATGGTCATAGCTAGATATTAAGTATTTCGACCACCACCCCAAAACTGAGTAAAACTAAAACACATTCACATCAAAACAACAGGTGCCACATGACCTAATTTATATAAAACTACAGGTATTTGTACGTGTGTATGGAATAAAGAGATTCATAAAATTATGGCACCAAATTGTTAAATGTGATTATCTCAAGGTCAGGGGATTCAGATAACTATCAAAGAAAAAAAATTATTTTTCAGAAGTAATTCCATAGGAGCCCGAATATGCTTGTCACATTGTCTGTGATAACAAAACAAAACCTAAGGAAATGGTGTGATGATAGTAATGCCACAATATAACATTTTGTAATTATTAAATAATCATCATGAAGACAGTTCTCATGGTACCTATGAGGACAGCATAAAAAGTGAAGACTGGAGAAATGCTGACATACTAAGGAGAAAACACAGTACACATTACAGTTCATACTACTCACAAATACACACACACACACACACACACACACACACACACACGACAACTTAAAATATGCAACGAGAGGCACCGTGAGTGCGTGTGGGCACTAACAACAAGAGTCTGACAGAATGTGCCCGACAAGCCGTCTGAGCCTGGGCTTCGTTGGGGGAAGATTCTTAATTCTAATGCCATTTCCTTACTTATCGTAGGTCTATTCAGGCTATTTCTTCTTGAAGCAGTTTTAGTCATTTATACCTCTAGGAATTTGTCCCTTCACCTAAATTGTCTAATCCGTGAGCACAAAATGTTGTTCTATCCATTATTGAAAGTGGAGTGCTAAAGTCTCCATTATTGTGAATCGTCTCATTCTCCCTTCAATTCTGTCAATTTTGCTTCTTGTATTCTGGGACTCTCTTGTTAGGGATGTATTCATTTGTAACCGTTACATCTTCTTACTGAATAATTATTTGGTCATTGTGAATGCCTGTCTCTAGTAATACTTCCTGTCTCTAAGACTGCTTCATCTGCTACTTATAAAGCCACCCCAGCTCTCCCACAGCTGCTGCTGGATGGTTTGTGTGTGTCCATCTTTGTACTCTCAATCTATTTGCGTCTTCTAATGTCAAGGGAGTCTCCAGTGTGCCTTCTGGAATCACCACCCAAATAAACCACCTGCAGACCACTCCTGGCTCAGGCTCTGCTCCCAAGGGGAAACCCAAACTAACGTGTAATAAAATCGACATACCCTCAGTGCAGACTACCTTACCTTCCTTCTAGAATCCTTCTCTTTTCCATGATTCCTCACAAAATCCTCTGCATGCCTAGAAAGCAAACACGATCACAGTCAAATTTATTTTTAAATGAAGACCTAAAAATTAAAACATTCTCCATATCAGTGAAAACTCCTGTCAGTATTTTGATATGATTAAGAACTGCTATAAGTGGGCAAAGTATGTCTTATTAGAACTATGAATGCTAAAGTCTTCCTAACATTTTTACTATTTCAGCAGTAATTCAAGATAGAAAATATCTTCTGTAGGGAAAAGAAACTATGTGTTTTAACAAACGTCTGTGTGTGTGCACCAATCTATAAACTTTAAGAGTTCTAGAAATTTTCTATAATTTTATTAGTCAATCTCAAATACTATTTTATGTTTAATATAATATTTGTATTTCCAAAAGAAAGATTTATCTTGAAATATGCTCTATTTTTAATCATATTTTATATGTTAGTATAGACCTAAAATACTTGCAAAATTTCAAATCGCTTCTCAATTTCTAGAACTTACATTCACACCAATTTTATATAACACGGTTTAACAGGTATATAGAATTGAGCAAAAAACCTTCCTTGTAACTTCTAGCATATTTTCAATATAAAATCTAGGAATTTGAGGGCCCCGCCCAGGTAAGTGCTAGCTTTTTTCAAACTTGTAAAAATTGGGGGAAGACATTTAACCTGAGCTTTCCTAATGTATGAAAAATTACAATATATGGTTGTCATAGAGGACAAATTAAATTCTAGGGCTTATATACAAAATGAGAGTTTATACATAAGCACTAATCTAATCTGTAATCTTCGCACAACCCACACAAAATCAGCCTCATCGTCACAGTGTCACTGAAAGGCCTCCCGGCATCACCACCAGGGGCTGGCACGGAATTCCAGCCAAGGACAGCGCCAGGCCTTTACTGCATCTCTGCGGCAGTGAGCCCAGGGCGCTTTCCTTGCGCTCACAGTCTGGAGCGCCAGGCAGTGGGGGACGTGCTGGCATGCCTTGAACTTAGTGGGCGCGAACCACAGCGAGTTGCTCCTGCCCATAAACGGGCTGCAATGCCCACCCAGAGACACTTCGGCGCCAGGCAGGGAAGGGACTGAAGAGACTTCAAGATGAATTATTCTTTTCAAAGTGAGTGCTGATTTTCTAATTTGTGTGAGCAAACATAAAGCAGGCAAAATATAAGCTAATAATTGACAACAGGTTTCCAAGCTCCTCTGATATACCTAAACTGTACTATCCATTTGGAGGGGGTCAGATCTAGAGTGAAGTGTATCTATCATCTGCTCCCATTTACTGGCTATCATTGGGCCCAGCAGGAAAACTCATCGTTCGAGCATTCCGTGGGAACCACAGCATGAGTGACGGTCAACTGAGGGCGCCTGCTCCTCCTTACTGGCTGCCAGTCCCGTCTCTCCTTGAACTCGCCCCTCGACTCCTGTGTTCGCCGTTCTGCCAAACAGAAAAATAATTTCACAGCCACTGATTAGTGTGTCTCCATGAATTGAGCACAGTTAGTAAGTGCTATAAAACAAGCACAGATTAAAAATTTAATAGGTATTTTTTTTATAATTTATTTCTTTTTTAAAGCCAGTCAAATTTAGCAGTGGTTGGTTGAATACCAACTTTAGTGACACTAATGTTAATAAGTTCTGATAACCCACTACCATCGGACCAGCCTTAATAGGTATTTTAAAATAACTATTTTTAGCAGCTATTTTTAGTAAATTAGATAATGTCAGTGAAATGGATAATAGTATATTATTTTTAAAGAGTGATTACATATTACATCAGTAAAAGAATTACAGTCATCTATTTCACATGAGGAATACATTATTTACAGATAAACCCAACTAGTTCCTTATGCTGCTTAAAATGATAAACTTTCAAACATACAGTATGTACTATTTCACAGATCCATGCACCTATAGAAAAAAATTTTAAACAATCTTCTCTTGAATTAAGCAAATTTTTAAAACTAATATTAAAACCCTGAGATTATAATCACTACATGCAGACAGACTGAGCTGAGGGAGCAGAAGGGGACGTAGCTGCCCGAAGGTGAAGAAGGTGAAGACTCTGGGGAGGGGGAGTCCTCTGGGGAGACCACAGACCTGGGAGTGGTCCCCGAGCACACAGAGCAGAACAGCAGGAGTAAGTCAGAACTAAGAAAGATCACTCCAGAGGGCCACACACAACACGCATCAACAGCCTTGAAAAGTGTTAAAAATATCTAAACACTTCCATTGACTTGTAAATTCTGCTGAAAAGAAATCAATGTTAGGAAACAATCAAACACATGCATCAAGATTTTCAACCTGCTCACCGCAGAATAATTTACAATTTCAAAAAAAAGTCGATAACCTGAATGTTCGATGTTAGAATACTTGCAAAATAAACGAGGTTACAAGCACATGATAGAACACCAGAGGACTATCAAAAATCCCAGCATTAGGCAGGGCTCGGTGGCTGATGCCTATAATCCTAGCACTCTGGGAGGCCAAGGTGGGGGGAATCACTCAAGGCCAGGAGTTCGAAACCAGCCTGAACAAAAGCGAGACCCCCATCTCTACTATAAATAGAAAGAAATTAATTGGCCAACCAAACTATATAGAAAAAATTAGTCAGGCACAGTGGGGCATGCCTATAGTTCCAGCTACTCGGGAGGCAGAGGCAGGAGGATCGCTTGAGCCCAGGAGTTCAAGGTTGCTGTGAGCTAGGCTGACACCATGGCACTCTAGCCCAGGCAACAGAGTGAGACTCTGTCTCAAATAATAATAATAATAATAATAATAGGTCAAAAAACACAAAGAAAAAGTAAGAGAGAACCAAGGAGAACATCCATCCCTGGGAGTCGTCCCAGTTCATATCTGCTGTCCTGGCACAGTCACTAACCGTGCCCTTGCACCTCACGGTCACCTCAAGAAAATCATCAAATGCTAGGCTAACACGGTGATCAAGTAAAAAAGTATCTTTTGGCCATGTAGGGTGGCTCACACCTACAATCCCATCACCCTGGGAGGCCAAGATGGGAGGATCACTTGAGCCTGGGAGTTCCAGATCAGCCTGAGCAATAGCAAGACTCCCTTAAATAAAAAAAAAAAATTATCTTTTGAGTACCTGAAAGTCAACACACAAAAAAAATTAATTATATAATGCTCAATAATCACTCCTGATGTTATATTATATATCTGTTTGTTTTAGAGACAGGGTCTTGCTCTGTTGCCCATTCTAGAGTGCAGTGGCATCATCACAGCTCACAGCAGCCTCAAACTCTGGAGCTCCAGCGATCCTCCTGCCTCAGCCTCCCGAGTAGCTGGGACTATAGGCATGCGCCAACATGCCCGGCTAAGTTTTCTATTTTTAGCAGAGATGGGATCCTGCTCTAGCTCAGGCTGGTCTCAAACTGCTACCCTCCATCGATCCTCCTGCCTCAGCCTCCCAGAGTGCAGGGATTAGAGGTGCACATCACCCCGCCCGGCCGAAGCTTTGGTTTTGTTCCCAGCTGTATCCTCAGCACCTGGAACAGTGTCCAGCACACAGAGGCTACTTAAACCCTCTGAAAAGGAAGCCCATCAGTTGTCAGAACAACCTTTTTTCTAGAATTAATTTTGAAGGCAGTGGTTTTACAAAGGTGCAGAAAAATGTTCCCCGTGGGTCATTTGTACGGCTACCCTTTACCAAAGACAAACGTGTACATGAAGACATGTGTAGAAAGGCATGTCTGGGGGGGAAGTGAACAAATGTGACCTAAACATGTCCTTTCTTGTAATCACATTCGACCTAGGAACGGGCCCCAGGCAAGTTCAACCGCATGTTAGCAACGGAATCTAAGTGGTAGGTACAGGGTGTCCACGCTGAAAATCTGCCAAATTTGTTCTATGTCTGAAAACATTCATAAAACAATATGTTTGGGGGGAAAAATGAAAAATTTCTGATCTAGGGAAAGATATTTACAAAACAAGAATGAATACCCGTCCCTGAGTTTTTAATGGTGGCTACGTCAGGAACGTAAACCTGCTGTGAGGCAGGTCAGAGGGACGTCCACAGGCTTTAGACACCATATTTGTAGGGAGTGAACTGGTACTTCTCACCACGGCTCAGAGGCGTGACCAGACAGAGGCCGTGGGCTGCGGGCGGCATGGGTGTCTGAGGGCCAGCTCTGGGCAACGCAAGGGGAGGTGAAGGACCCTGTTCATGGTACAGGGCAGCGTACAGCGCAGGCTGAGGACATGAGCACGGCAGGACCTCCTCTTAACAAGACTGCTTCTCAGTCTAGATGCTCCTGGCATTAACCCAACGGTGTCTGGTTCTTACAACACACACATGTGCCTTGCTGGACATCAGCTGTGTGCTGCTTCCCCAGCAATGTCTATCTGCAGCGGCACGTCCTGAGTCCACCCAGAGGTCCCCAGCCTCAGATACCACCTGATCCACTTTAAAGGAAGCCCCATTGAGAAATAGGAGAATAAAACCACCTTAGCTTCAGATTCTGAAAAAACAGAGCAGCAAGAAGTACACACATGAGAACAAATGATACTACAATGAGTCTAGGAAAATATTAAGCAACTGTAGAAATTAAATCAATATACGCCGCGTATATTGATACGCGGCAGCACTAATACGTGGCAGCACTAAGGCCACGCTGCTTCTCAAGGAAGCCGACCGATCGCAGGGCGACGTACCTTGGGCTCCCTTTTCTTATGCTCCTCTCGGGACGATTTCTCCTTTCTCTCAGAGTTACTTCGCCGCGCCTCATCAGCAGGGAAGCCTTCCTTGTGGCGTTTCTCCCGGTGCCTCTCTTCCCAGTCTTTGTCGGAGAAAGAACTGCTTTTTTCTTTGGCGTACTTGTCTCTCTTCTCCCTTGTGCTGCTCTTTTCTCGGTGTTTCTTCTCTCGATCTGCCTCTCGTGGCTTCCTGTGTCTTCTCTCACCTTCTTCTTTGTACAGCCAGTACTTGAGAGGGTTTTCCCTGCTGTCCCCGTACTGCAGCTGCAAAACACAAGCACGTAAGATGGAGTGCGGCTGGCCTCTGCGTCTGCACACTCCACCAACCTCGACAGAAAATATTCAGGAAAAAACTGCGTCGGTGTTAAACATGTACAGACTTTTGCCCTTGCCATCATTCCCTAGGCAACACAGTGTAACTACTTCCACTGCATTTACAATGTACTAGGTGTTGTAAGTAATGCAGAGATAACTTAAAGTGCGCGGGAGGACGTGTGCAGGTTGATGCCAACGCTGCCCCATCAAATCAGGGACTTGAGCTCGTGGACTTTGCATTCAAGGGAGGTCCTGGAACCAACTGGAACCAACCCCACAGGTACCGAGGGACGGTGGTTGTCCTCTGTCTTTATACATGTTATGATAAAAGCAGGGAAAATTACAGCACTGCCATTGCCCCCTTCAATCCCCAAGTTTGCTGTCAGGTATCTTCCTAAATAGTTAATCTGTTGTCTTTCTGGAAAGAAAAAACCCCATTCACAGCTCTGGTCCTGTCAGCCGCTGCTGCCCCTGGCAAATCAACAGAGACTCTGGAGCACCACTTCCCCAGCCTGGGAACAACCTCCACACCCCTCAGCTAGGCGCTAGGCATGTAGTCTCAGCCCCTCAGAGCCCCGCCCTTCATTCTTGTCACCTTCATGGCCCAGGAATCCCCACCTGTGAAAGCTCTGTGTGCTCTCCAGGAAGACACCTTCTCCCACAGCACCGGGCTGCCACCGCCCCTACTCAGACGTGTCACCACTTCCTTTCTTAATCAGGCCCACCCAGATGGAGATTCTTGAGAATGGGGACCACGGTGTAGTCATCTCTGCAGCCCCCAAAACACTCTGGATGCTCAGTAATTATCTGGTGACATTCATCACAGACTGTACAACAGGTTATTATTAATATAATGTGATATTTTTGGCTCCGACTCCGAGTTCTGGCAGCACTATCACCATGCCTGACAGACCCTTACCCTTCACACGGGGCTCCTCTGCTCACCCCCAACCAGGCACAGCGGATTCCTGGTCCACAGTGCCCCCCACACCTCTCAGTTCCCTGTGGTTCCCACTCACTGTGAGCCCCAGCAGACTCTCATCTCCCTCCTCAGTCCCCCTGACACAGCCACCCTGCTGTCCTAGAGGACACACTGACCACCTCCCTGACCGAGCTCTTCAGCTGCAAGGTCAGATCACCACCTCATACCAGCCACCAAAACAGCCTCCATGGGAATCAAAGGTGGAAGTCTTAAAAAAAACGTTAAAGACATAGAACAAGAAACAGACTACTAAGCACATAACTTTGGTGTGGGGAAAGCATTCCATCAGCAATAGAAATAAACCAAGCACAGACCTGACTAATTCGTCATTTTAAGCTTACTTATAAAAATCCCACAAGTCTCAGCCTGGGCAACATACCAAGATCCCGTCTTTACAAAAAAAAAAAAAAAAAATTCTTTAAATAAAATTAGTCAGGCATGGTGGTGTACACCTGTAATCCCACCATTCTGGGAGGCCAAGGCACATGTGCCAAGAGAATCGATACACCTGCATCAATGAATATTAAATTATGCAGCTATTAAAATATTATATGGAAATATGATCACTCAGTGCCCAAAATGTATTAAGTTTAAACTATTTCTAAAACAGCAGAAATCCATATATGGAAATACCTTAAAGTGATACAAGTAGATCTACCATTTGATCCAGCAATTCCTCTACTGGACATCTACCCAAAAGATCAAATGGCACTCTACAAATGGGACACCTGCACTCAAATCTTTATAGCAGCACAGTGCACAATCACAAAGGTGTGGAAACAACCCAGGTGCCCATCAATACATGAGTGGATTAATAAAATGTGGTATATGTATACCATGGAGTACTATTCAGCTTTAAGAAACAATGGTGATATAGCACCTCTTATATTTTCCTGGATACAGCTGGAACCCATTCTACTAAGTGATGTATCTCAAGAATAGAAAAACAAGCACCACATGTGCTCACCAGCAAATTGGTATGAACAGATCAACACTTAAGTGGACACATAGGAATAACATTTATCTGGTGTTGGGCGGAGGGGGGGAGGGGGGAGGGAGGCATGTACAATATACGTAACCTGAACATTTGTACCCCCATAATATGCTGAAATTTAAAAAATTGATTAAAATAAATTTAAAAAAAAAAGAAAAATATGAAAATGTTATAAATACATACACACACACACACACACACACACACGCACACACACATATATATATAAACCTGGTAAAATACATCCCTAAATATTATCAATAATTATCTCTGGGCAAAGATTAGACAGTTTTTGTTTTCTTATTATTTATTTATATCTCCTAAATTTTCTAAACTAATCAAGCATTACCCGTGGAATCTTAGAACAAAGAACTGACTAACGCCAGGTGCGGTGGCTCACGCCTGTAATCCTAACACTCTGGGATGCGGAGGCAGGAGGATCACTTGAGGTCAGGAGTTTGAGACCACCCTGAGCAAGAGCGAGACCCCGTCTCTACTAAAAATAGAAACAAATTACCCGTACAACTAAAAATATATATAGAAAAAATTAGCTGGGCATGGTGGCACGTGCCTGTAGTCCCAGCTACTCGAGAGGCTGAGGCAGAAGGATTGCTTGAGCCCAGGAGTTTGAGGTTGCTGTGAGCTAAGCTGATGCTACGGCACTCTAGCCCAGGCAACAGAGCGAGACTCTGTCTCAAAAAACAAAAACAGAACTGACTACACCTGGTGCTTGAGACCTTCCCCAAGCCCTGAACTCTGGCTTCTGATGACAACGTTTCAAACCTCCTTCACTGGGCAGCCTCGGAAAGCCCTCCCTCGGCCCAGTGCATACCTTCCTCTCTCGGTATCTTCTTTCTCTGTCTTCATCTCCTCTGTCCGAGTCTTCATCTTTCCTTTCTTTCTCTTCACTTCTCACTTTACTTACTACAAAACATAAGACATTTTTAACACTCCCAAATTTCAGCATATCAAAAAGATTTTCTAGTATCTTGCTACAGACTTTATTACACATTTCATATTTATTAACATGTATCAAAAAACATTCTTCAATTAAAACACATTCTCTGGCCGGGTGCGGTGGCCTGTAATCACGCCTGTAATCCTAGCACCCTGGGAGGCCTAGATGGGAGGATTGCTCGAGGTCAGCAGTTCGAAACCAGCCTGAGCAAGAGTGAAACCCCGTCTCTACTATAAATAGAAAGAAATTAATTGGCCAACTAATATATATAGAAAAAATTAGCCAGGCATGGTGGTGCATGCCTGTAGTCCCAGCTGCTCAGGAAGCTGAGGCAGGAGGATCGCTTGAGCCCAGGAGTTTGAGGTTGCTGTGAGCTGGGCGGATGCCATGGCACTCACTCTAGCCTGGGCAGCAAAGTGAGACTCTGTCTCAAAACAAAACAAACAAACAAAAACCACATTCTCCAATTCAAGCATGAAAAGTTCTAGTATCAAACTGAAAATGAAACAAAGAGGAGATAAAATGGCAATCTAAGGAACACATGGTTCTTCCCCTCTCCCAGTCTGCTACGGAGGCAGCTGGCAGATGTCTGACCAACCCCTGGAAGTCCACAGGGGCACCACCAGAACAGGACATCGTAGGGTTTCTGTGTCTTGGTGGGAGAGGTGCAAGCGGAAGCAGAGCCTTCTGAGGAGAACCAGCCCAGCTGGCCAGACGTTTCCACCAACTGTGAAGCTACGAGGAAATGCCTGCCCAACGGATGTGCCAAGCAAGGAGCGCAGCCCCCACTGCTGAGGGGACGAAGGAGGCAGGAGGCCCCGAGCAGCTAAGGAAGCCACCAGGTGCCCCACACCCCAGTGCAAGGCTGCAGCTTCAGCCACGGTGGAGGGGAAGGCTGCCGCACTCGGCCCAGGACAACCGGCAGGTGGGCCCCAGGATGGAACGGCCTGCATGGACTGACGCCCAAGGCACCAACCCACACAGAAAGCCCAACTTCCACTTCTGAATCTGCATAAACGAAAAAGTCACTAGGCTTAAACTTAGGAGAACTGACAATTTAAAAGATGAGGGCAGACCGGATTTTCACAGATCACTGAGACAAATTTCATTCATTTACAAAGTATTCTCCAAGCACTGACCACCTTTCTAGGTGTCTGGGATGGAGGAGCTGAGTTCTGGGTATATTGCTGAGGTGGGCGCACGGGATTTTCCGAGAGACCAGAAAGAAAATCACAGAGCCAAGAAGCGTCCCAGGGTTTCTGACCCGAGGACAGAGGAGTGAGGTCGCCATCAGCTGGAATGGGTGTGGCTGTGGCAAAGCAGGTTGCAGAGGGCCGAGAGAAGCTCAGTCCAGGGCATACTAAGTGGTCATTGTCCACTAGACATCAAAGCACACATGGACACACAAGCCTGGAATTCAGGGGTGAGACCCAGCTGAGGATAAAAACTTGGAAATCAGGAAACAGATAAACAGTATTTAAGACCCTGGACTAGCTCCAGCTAGCGAGGGAGAGGGGTGTCTGCAGCAGGGGCCTGAGGATCGAGCCGCATCCAGGCCACACTTCACAGATGGGGAGGGGGCGATGACAACTAACGATGACAGAGAGAACTTTACCGAGTCTAATCTACAGCTACTCTTCCCAGTACGATTCCCCGCAACACTGCGCTGTAAAAATAAGAGCAGGTAGCAACAAAAAGAGCCATCTGAGAACAAAAGGTTTTCTCAGAAATAAATATCAAAGACATCAAAAGTAGTAACTTTAAAAAGAGGCATTGGCCGGGCGTGGTGGCTCACGCCTGTAATCCTAGCTCTCTGGGAGGCCGAGACGGGCGGATTACTCAAGGTCAGGAGTTCAAAACCAGCCTGAGCAAGAGCGAGACCTCGTCTCTACTATAAATAGAAAGAAATTAATTGGCCAACTAATATATATAGAAAAAATTAGCCGGGCATGGTGGTGCATGCCTGTAGTCCCAGCTACTCGGGAGGCTGAGGCAGTAGGATTGCTTGAGCCCAGGAGTTGGAGGTTGCTGTGAGCTAGGCTGACGCCACGGCACTCACTCTAGCCTGGGCAACAAGTGAGACTCTGTCTCAAAAAAAAAAGAAAGAGGCATTAAATAGTAAAATAGTTATTGTTAAAATTAATTAGTGGTTACCCAATTAACCCACCAATTCCACCCCTTGGTCTATACCCAACAGACACGCGTGTGAATGCCAGAGAACGCAGAATAATGTTCTCAGTCCTATTCCCAATAGCTAACTCTGCAAACAACCAATGGACATAGCTGCAAATGGACAGAGCTTGGCATAACTACACAAGGGACAATAAGTAACAAAAAATGAGTAAAGGTCCCTGGTTTTCATCATTTTCATAGCCAGGCCTTCTGGTTATGAAGTTACTATGTATTATTCTAATATGTTCCTTTTTCACTTATGTTAGCCTGTTTGAACTTTGTATAAGGAGCATATAAATACACCACCTATTATTAATATATAACAATAAATCAGTGAAGAAACTTCTGTTGAGGAGGGAAAAAGAGTATGCATCCTTATCTTAGAATTCTTAGGAATTTAGCTAAATATTTGTGTGTTGCTTAAAGCTGATACTTATTTACAATGCGGATGGAGATTTATTATGATATTAAGTCTAAAATGCATTTTAATAGTAAAACTCTAGCAAATAATGAGAAAATTGTCACTCCCCTCATTGAGTTTTTAACATATCAAAAAGAAAACAATGACAAGAAGCACACACAGAGCCCAAGAGCCTATAACTTCAAACCCAAAGCTGAGACACTTAGGAAACTACAAGAGAAAACACAAAGACATTTCGAAAGAGCGAAATGTCCCAAACAGCAAGAACTGTTACAAGAAACAGAGCTGAGCGACACCTGGGTGCACAAGCGACACCTGGGCGCACAGACGCACCTGAGCGGCCAGCCTTCTCTGCCCGCTGCTGAGGCGGCTGCCGGCCTCGCACCTCTGAGCCCAGCAGGCTGTGGTAGGCGGGCGTCTGCCAGTGCTCTTCTTTCTTGGCCCTTCTGTCTTTCTCCTTTTCTCTGTCCTTTCCTTTACCGTGAGGCTTTTCTGCATCCTGCTCTCGGTGTTTCTCTTTCAGCTTGTCTTTCTCCCGCTCTTTTGTGTCTTTCCTCCTCTCCCGTTGCTTTTCTCTGTCTCTGTCCCCGAGAGGACTCTCCTTTGTGGTGTGAGCCTCGGCTGTCCTCTCTCTGTGCTTGGTCTCACGGTCCTGACCCCTGGCCTTGGGCTCCGGGTGCCCCAGGAGGTCCACCTCAGACCCCTTGTGCAGTTGCTTCTCCCTGTGTTTCCTGTCCTCCCTGGGACTGCCTGCATGCACAGCCTGCAACAAGAGAAAAAGGATCCTTCAGATTTCCATTCGGCTCTTAACATCTGAGTGTGAGACACATACGAATTTGAAGGACCTTAAAAACCCTTGGGTGGAGAACACCTGTGGTCCCAGTGCTCTGCGAGACCGAGGCAGGAGGATCGCTTGAGCCCAGGAGTTGGAGGCTGCAGTGAGATGTGATGACCACTGTGCTCCAGCCTGGGCAATAGTGGGAGACCCTGTCTCTAAAAAAAACCAAAAAACAAAAACAGAAACCCACCTTGGATTCTACCACTATCTAGTCCCAGCAAGAAGAGGTCTGACTCGGTGTTGTTAGACACTAAAGGACTTGGCATCACACTCAGCATTTCTACAGCTGCCACTGGCACCCCACAGATAGAAAGAAAAAGAGACACTGAGGCTGTGTTGTAAAGTCACTGCAACAGGGACCACCTGTGTCCTACAGAAAACACTGTGTCCTCAACAGAAAACTCTCCAGAGGACGTGACCTCAAGCCTAGGCCCCTACGCACCCCCGGCCCCCGTACCGCAGAACTGAGATCTGCTCGCCCCAGAGCAGTGCAGGGATGCCCAGGGCCATGACAAGGCCCCCCGAGCTGGTAGGGTGTCAGGCTGGACTAACAAACGTGACCTGCTGTGGTTCCAGAGGGATTAAACCACATGGCTTCACCTCTGAGTCAAAACACCTCTGAAATGAGCCACAGATAAGCAAAGTCGTGCATTGCTGTGAACTGGGTACAACTGTCCAGGGAAACCACGTGGTCTCCCACAGGGTCCCAACTTAAATCCTCAAAATACATTACCCGTAGGTGCCTCCTCAGGTCCTCCGCTTCCCAAGTGTCCTCTTTGGTTCTCCTCTAAATGGGAAAAAGTATAAAGTCAGGATTTTTACAGCTTAAAATAATTATATGTGCTCTAATGAGCTGCTTTTTCATTAGGTGATCTAAATCAGTGGCAATTAATTCTGGACATGCCAGAAAATACTTGTCCACCTACTGGAATAAAAGGTAATGGAAGTATTTATTCACTAGCCTGAAAATGACCCACACTTATAGAATGCATCCCTTCAGCTGCTTCAAAAACAAATACTGCAAAATAAAAGTGAAAACAGGTCCCAACAGCAGTTGAACAACAGATGGAAGACAAGTACTTTGTGGGTTTCAGACACACCATGCCAGCCCGAACTGCGCCTATGCTCCTTGGGCTGCAGGAGGCTCCTCCCGGGACAGGGGGCGCTGCGGCGCCTGCTTGTGGTACCCGCTGCTCCCGGGACCAGCTGTGAGGTGACAGAGGCAGCCCCAGGGGGCAGACAGCCTGCTCAGGTGTCCCAGCCCAGGGCCAGCCTTGGGCCCACACGCCAGCATCACCGGCTACACGGGAGCGGCGAGCCTCCAAATGACCGGAGACGCCTGAGGAGTACCCGCCCCAAACCTAGAGCCTCCCCGGCTGAGGCCCCGGTGTTGGGAGCAGAGCTGAGCCTCCCTGCAGCAAATTCTCCCGTTCCTGATCCACAGACATTGGGGGCAGAATCAAAAGGCTGCTGTTGTTTTCAAGGCAGTAAAAGCCCCCGGGATGCGTGAGTGGCAGACAACATGCACACAGCGTGTATGCACACCAGGTGCTACATGGAGCCAAACACGCTATTTGAATCTCATAGCCCTACTAGGAAGGCTAAAGACTCCATTTTACAAACGAGGAAACTGAGGCACAGAGAAGCTCAACACCTTTCACCTTCAGAGTCTTACACACGGCCGAGCACAAAACAGGAACTGAATAAGTATCTGTGGAATGAATAAAAACAGGCAAAGGCTGCCTGTGTCTGCTGACCCCTGGGGAACTGGGGGGGCAGCCACAGCTCACAGGAACCCCTGGGCTGGCTCAGCAAACACACGCCCAGCGCCTCTTGAACACTGAACCCGCTCCAGACACAGGGACTGCACTGACCAGCAAAACCCAAGTCAAGTCCCTCCCTCAAAGACACGTGTTGTTCATACTGTGGAAGCACGGGCTCCTATGGGACAACCCATCCCTCAAGTGCAGATCACATCCCTCCGGCTGCGCCCTAACCTTCGGGAAAGGAAACTTGCCTTAGTCGTCCCTGTCCCTGGCACCGAGCGCTGTTGGCTCGTCACAGCGCCTCACAAAGAGGAGGCTCTGGTGGAGGAGCGCATAGAGACAGAGAGTTCGTCAGGGACCCCAACTGTTCCAAGAATTTAAGAGGAGATATTAATGTGTGGTGGCCTTGAAATATTTCCACTGATTCTTCAATGACCCTTCCTTCCCAAGGAAGGTAATCCCTCCTCCCATGAACATGGGCCGGATTCAGTGACTCACTGCTAGGAAAGAGAGCAGGGTGGAAGCCAAGCTATGACTTCCCAGTCAGGGTCTAAAATCAAAGTTTCCACCTGGCTCTGCGGGCTCGCTCTGGGAGAGCTGGAGCCACTGCAGGGGGGTACTCGGGGCTGGAGAGGCCACGTGCAGAGGCCAGTGCAGCCCAACAGCCTCCTCGGAAGGCCCCGCAGCCCAACTGAACCTTCAGGTGACACCCTAACTGCACCCTAATGTCCTACCCAGGCCACTGCCAAACTCCTCACGCCCAGGAAGCTGAAGATAACAAATGTTTGTTGTTGCATCAGGGCAACCACAAACACCCTCACCCCCACCCAGGACCTGCCCTACCACGGCGCTACCCACCTCCCAGGACCCTGGCAGACCTGCCTGTGGTCCTCCTGGCTCACATCGGTGCTAGTCTCCCTGATCTGGGCACAAGCCTTAGGAGACGGAATCGCAGCTTAGGCTTCTGGGACGCTCCAGCGCCATAGTGCGGCTGGCCTTTGGGCTGGACCTGCCTCACTGATGACCGCATTACCCCCACACACACCCACAACGCAGCCCTACACTCCCAAGTAAGACACAGCTCGATAACAAAGCTGACCTCAGCTGAGCAAAACTAATCGAGGATGGTTTCTCGGGGAGAACATGACAATATTCATCCTCACAATTTCACTGTCCCTATAAGAAACACTACCTTGAAGGTACAAACAGAGTCTGGGATGTATGTTTCAAAAAAGAGGCAGATATAGTCCAGACAAGAAATGAAAACTTCATTCAAAAACATTCAGCCTTTCTAAATACAGAATGAAATAGTACTGCGTAGTACTGAAACAGTTCACAACACTAGCTCATATTTCATATCAAAATAAAGAGGGCAGAAATTTATTTTAATAAAAGGATAACTTAAATACATACAGTTTTACATCTTTCAAGCTATGATTAATAAATTTCATGATAATAATAAACTCACAGGCTGGATGTGGTGGCTCACGCCTGTAATCCTAGCACTCTGGGAGGCCGAGGCGGGCGGATTGCTCAAGGTCAGGAGTTCAAAACCAGCCTGAGCAAGAGCGAGACCCCATCTCTACTATAAATAGAAAGAAATTAATTGGCCAACTAATATATATAGAAAAAATTAGCCGGGCATGGTGGCGCATGCCTGTAGTCCCAGCTACTCGGGAGGCTGAGGCAGTAGGATTGCTTGAGCCCAGGAGTTTGAGGTTGCTGTGAGCTATACTGATGCCACGGCACTCACTCTAGCCTGGGCAACAAAGTGAGACTCTGTCTCAAAAAAAAAAATAATAAAAAAAATAAATAAATAAACTCACATATTACCAATTGTTTGGTATGTAACAGTAAATTTAGAAATTTGTAAAATTTTCATTGAGCATAAAAATTAATAAGAGTCACACACACTGCAAGCAAGATAAAGTGTTTTTAAAGAGGTACTACTGAAAAAAACTGTCACCACTCTTATCAAGCAGATGCAAAATGTACAAACACACCATAAACTTTTTCTAATAGCTACAACACACAGAAACTTGATATGATTTTTAGTGCAAATAAAGAACACAAATCTGCTTATATTAGCAATATTCATTATGCAAATAATCACATTGAAACAAACCAAAGGAAGAGCTTAGTGTAAAATAAAAGGAATAATAAGCAACACCAAAAAACTACAATTTTATTCCAATAACCTCATGAAAATTTTATCTTTCCCCTTAATGAAATAAACTTATACTAATCAATTCTATATAATACTATGATAATTACATAATTAAGTTCTATTGACCAGTGGGCTAACTTCATAAAAAGTTAATGACCAATTTGCAACTGAAAATGTATTCTAGGTATTTATTACTTGCCAGGAAATATCCAGCCCTGAAGTCTGCCGCATTTTCTACTTTAATGTTTATTTATTAAATGTGTATCAGAATAAAGCCCCAAGGTGTAATCAAATGTCAAAAAAATAATGAACAGAAAAAGACCCACAATAGACAAACTGCCATATACTAATATATTCAGAACACCACAGATAAAGATTCTAAATCTTCTGGAGAAAAGAAAATGTTACTTACAAAGATATCTCACCAGCCAAAATCACTGGTTTTACAACAACGTGTAATGCCTTCAAACTTTTGGAAAAACTATTTTGATCCTAGAATTGTATGCTGAGCCAAAATCTTAAACAAGTATATCAGTATAATAAAGACAGTCTTAAAGTTTCCCCTCCTACATACTTGTTGAAAAAGGTATATTAGGATATATTCCGGGGTGGGGGCAAAGAGAGGGGATTTCAAGAACGAAAAAGATACTAGACCCAAGGAACAGTAGGCCTACCCAAAAGTAAAATGAGAAGGAATTCTCAGATGATAGTTCTGCACAGGTCTAGAAAACAATTAGTCCCAATGAGAAGAGAAAGTCAGTGAGCTTGGCTGGACAAGGTGGCTCATGCTTGTAATCCTAGCACTCCAGGAGGCCGAGGCGGGTGGATGATTTGAGCTCAGGAGTTCGAGACCAGTCTGAGCAAGAGCAAGACCCGTCTCTATTGAAAATAGAAAGAAAATTAGCTAGACAACTAAAAATATATATAGAAAAAAATTAGCTGGGCATAGTGGCACATGCCTGTAGTCCCAGCTACTTGGGAGGCTGAGGCAGGAGGATCGCTTGAGCCCAGGAGTTTGAGGTTGCTGTGAGCTGGGCTGACGCCACTGTACTCTAGACAAGGAGAGAGAGTGAGACTCTGTCTCAGAAAAAAAAGTCACTGGAAAGAATGTTTTTTAAAGCGTATTTCATTAAACAGATCATATTACTCATTAATGAACCAGAAGACATATCAATGGAGTTTAAAAATAAAAAAGAAACATATGTTGCTTTTTGCAGAAAAAAAAGGCAAATAGAAACTAACAGAAAATCAAAGAAACACATGGCCCAAATATGAAGCAAACTACACTGGGGCACATTAACTGAATGCAAGAAAAGATGAGCTATTTGACCCTGATACCAGGAACACTGTCCTTTGAGCAGAATGAGTGTGGGAACACTCCGCATTTTCTCTATTGGCCCAATCGCACTGTTTGGTTCTGCAGTGAATGCTACTTACATAGTGTCATAGTGTATTGGTTTTCAATTTTGAAAGTCAACCTATAAATAAGCAAATCACAGAAAACATAAGTCGCAGAATAACTAGAGGAAATGTAAAGGGAAAGGTTCAGAAGATGACAGGCCAGGAGACCAGCGGATTTAAGGGGAAATGGAGGTGGGTTAGAGAAGGGCAATAACTTCCAGTCTTCACCAAGGGGAAGTTAAAAGATACTATCTAAGGTTGATACAAGCCCAAATACAAATTAAAGAATATTATTTAACGTTATAAAGGTAAATGGCAGGAAAAACTAACGGAGAGGAAGGAAGGCAGAGGAACCGCCAGCGCCAGCACCCTGCACACCGTGGTGTCACTGGCCCTGGCGGATACCCTGCCACGTCGCCACGGCCACCGTGCGCATCTCATCTCACGAATTAGGAAATAAGACTCGTTAAGTAACTTTCCCAAGGTCACACAAGTAAAGACAAAAGCCAGAATTCAAACGGAAGCCACCAGACTGCAAGCTCAACCTCTCAAGCTGTGACAGGTAACATTTAAATCGGCTGAAACAGAATAAAACTTGAGGACGGGCAGGGCGCGGAGTCTCACGCCTGTCATCCTAGCATTCTGGGAGGCCGAGGCGGGAGGATCGCTTGAGGTCAGGAGTTCGAGACCAGCCTGAGCAAGAGCGAGACCCCGGCTGTACTAAAAAATAAAAAGAAATTAATTGGCCAACTAAAAACATATAGAAAAAATTAGCCGGGCATGGTGGCGCATGCCTGTAGCCCCAGCTACTCAGGAGACTTTGAGGTTGCTGTGAGCTAGGCTGACGCCACGGCCACTCTAGCCCGGGAAACAGAGTGAGTGAGACTCTGTCTCAAAAAAAAAAGAAAAAACAAACTTGAGGACGCGGCTCCGGGCCACAGCAGCCGAGGCGCAGGCGCGGACGGGCGCGGGTACGCGCGGGCCGGTCGGTGCTGCGGCCTGTTCAAAACTGTGAACCAGGACGGGCTTCCCCGCAGCGGGCGCCTGGTCCCGCGTCCTGCGCCGCCTCAGTTTCCCCTTCCGCGCTGGGCACGGAGGCCCCGCCAGGGAAGGGCGGCGCGGGCGGAGGAGAGAGAGCAGCTGCCGGCCTGGCCCCAAGCCCCGCATCCGAGAAGGCCCGGACCCAGCCTCGCACCAACCTTCCCAGGCTCCATCGCTCCCCACGGGCCCGGCGGCCGCGGTATCCTCGGTCCGGCCAGGCTCGGGCCACCCCAGGAGGAGACCTGCCGTCCGGCGCCCCCACTCTCCTCCCGCCGAGCCCGGGCCTGCTGCGCTGAGGCTCCGCGGGCGGCGCGTCACCGGCTCCTAGCAACCGGCAGGCAGGAGCAGCACAGTGCCGAGCAGTCGCTGCCCGGCATGCTCCGCGGCCGCTCTTCCTGCGCCTGCGCGTTCCCGGCCGCGGGCACCGGCCGGCAGGGGTGGTGCAGGACCAGCGGTGGCAGGTCTCCCCGCCCCGCAGGCCCGACGGGAGGGAGAGAGGATCCTGAAAGAGCTTTCCATTTGAATAAGGCTTAGCGCTCTACAGATCACGTTCCCGCATGCTGTCTGCGATTGGAGCAGCCCCGCTCTGTGGGCAGGAATGGAAGCCGTGGGAAGGGCTGTGGGACGCGAGGAGGGGCATGGAGGCGGGGCTCTGCGCCTCGGAAGCTTCACCTGCAGCTTCCAGGTGGGAGCCCAGACCCCCAGACCCAGGCCCGGCGTGGAGGGGGCCCCTGGGGTGCCCAGGCCGGCGAGGAGGGGGACCCAGGTCGGCTAGGAGAGGCCCCCGAGGAGGCAGGAGCAGACCTGGGGGCCCTCGCGTCCACAGCAGCGGCTGTCGGGCGTCCTCGTCTGCGGCATGTGCGGTGGGAAAGGGAAGGCGGGAAGGGAGCTTCTGGGACGGCTCTGAGCTGGGCTGGCTCTCGTGCCCCCCCCCCCCGCCCCCATTCACCTAACTTAGGTCAGCTCTGCGGGGCCCCAGGCGGGGTAGCCCCGCGCACCCCCGCCCACCTGTGCTCACGCCACTACCTCTTAGTTAGATCTTAAATCCGCCCGTTTTTTTCGCGGCTCCAGCAGCAGGACTATCCGAAATGTCCATCTCATGTCAGTCACTGCGCGCTTCTGTGGCACCTCTTGCAACCAAACAGCGACTTAGAGCTCCCCAAGTGCACCGCGTGCACTTGGGCTTTGTGGGTGCTGTTTCCTCTGTCTCACTATGTCCCACTGTATTTCTAGAATAAATGGATTTATAGCTTTTGGGAAACCTAAAACAATTATTTTCTGAGTAGCTTGTTTGCCCATGGTTACATTCTATCTTATAGTTCTGGGGTCATCTTTATTGATTCACTAGATGGCTTCTTGAATTCATCTGGGTGACCTGGGAACTAAGAATGCTGGAGGCAGAAAGCTAAATAAAACGCTATCTGGACCTCTAGTGGCTTTAGTGTTAGGAGAGAGAAATGTGCAAACAACTGTTAATGTGAAGGTATAAGAGCTACTGTTAAAATGCAGTGGATGATGGCCGGGCGCGGTGGCTCACGCCTGTAATCCTAGCACTTGGGAGGCCTAGGCGGGCGGATTGCTCGTTTCAGGAGTTCGAAACCAGCCTGAGCAAGAGCAAGACTCGTCTCTACTATAAATAGAAGGAAATTAATTGGCCAACTAATATATATAGAAAAAAAAATTAGCCGGGCATGGTTGGCGCATGCCTGTAGTCCCAGCTACTCGGGAGGCTGAGGCAGAAGGATTGCTTGAGCCCAAGAGTTTGAGGTTGCTGTGAGCTAGGCTGACGCCAGGGCACTCACTCTAGCCTGGGCAACAAAGCCAGACTCTGTCTCAAAAAAAAAAAAAAAAAAACAACAAAATGCAGTGGATGAGGAAGTGACACATCTGCCTGGAATATAAGAACCAGGTTGGGAAAGGCTTCATTTCAGTTGGACCTTGAAGCATAAAATTTGCCAGGCACAGAGAGGCTGGGAAAGAACATTTTGAGATAAAAAAAAACAAATAAAGTGTGCAAGCACAGACAGGAGAAAGGGTTTTGGAGTGTTCTGTAAGAATTTACTATATACTAATATATAACTGTGCTGTCCAATAGAGAATGCAAGGCATGTAATAAAATAATAGTAGCCACATTTAAAAAGTTAAAATAGGCCAGGCGTGGTGGCTCACACCTGTAATCCCAGTACTTTGGAAGGCCAAGGCAGGATGATCACTTGCAGCCAGGAGCTTGAGACCAGCCTGGACAACATAGTGAGACCCCCGTCTCTACAAAAAGTAAAAAAAACAAATAAGCCAGGTGTGGTAGTTCACACCTATAGTCCCAGCTACTGGGGAGGCTGATGCAGGAAGATCACTTGAGCCCAGGAGTTCAAGGCTTCAGTGAGCTGTGATCACACTACTGTAATCCTGCCTGATGACAGAGGAAGGCCCCATCTCTTAAAAAAAGAAAAAGGAGGCCGGGCGCGGTGGCTCACGCCTGTAATCCTAGCTCTCTGGGAGGCCGAGGCGGGCGGATTGCTCGAGGTCAGGAGTTCGAAACTAGCCTGAGCAAGAGCGAGACCCCGTCTCTACTATAAATAGAAAGAAATTAATTGGCCAACTAATATATATACAAAAAATTAGCCGGGCATGGTGGTGCATGCCTGTAGTCCCAGCTACTTGGGAGGCTGAGGCAGGAGGATCACTTGAGCCCAGGAGTTTGAGGTTGCTGTGAGCTAGGCTGACGCCACGGCACTCACTCTAGCCTGGGCAACAAAGCGAGACTCTGTCTCAAAAAAAAAAAAAA